TGTAGCTAACATGCATTAAAGTGATTACAGCGATAACTTCAATATCCACTTCTCAAAGAGACTTACCTTGCTTGACATTCCAATCCACAAGCTCATATTTTAAATGCAGTGGTATAAGTATACTTAGCATCTTAGCATATTGTATTTATGCATATCTGAATGGAACTTGTGCATTCCAGGCATTTATGTATATGATTTGTTTACTTAAGTTTGCAACAAACATATTGCCTTATGGCTTTCTTTTCTTTTCCATATTTATTCTCCAGCTGTTTTAAGCGAAAGTTATGTGATGATTCTGTGAACTGAGCTTTTAATGTGTGGGTTATACATGCTAGCAATATCACTGAAAGTGGTATTGCTAGCCAATTATATATATATATATATATATATATATATATATATATATATATACACATGCTAGACAACATATTTCACCAATTGCACTAGGCCTGCCATCTTGGCTTAGCGCATTGGCATTGCATCCATTCTCTTGATTGTTAAAGTGTCTATGTGTTCTCTCATGTGTTTAAGAATTGTGTTTCTCCATCTCATGTGTTTAAGAACTGGACTGATGATAAAAAAATGCAAGCTTGATGTTTCATTTGCAGACCTGCTTTACTGCATGTGATGCATGGTGGCCAACTTTTTACCATGTCACCATGAAAATTAATATGTATGAGCTCCTTATGCTATCAAGATTTGCCCTTTAAAGTTTTCAACCAGAGACAGATTTTCATTTGACTCTTACTATCTACAAATTGTATCTTACTTTACAGCCATCCCTGTTCATTACAACTCGACCTGCAGTTTCTTGAACCAAATATCTACTTTCTGAAAAAACAGGATCAAATGATAAATGCCATTTAGTTCACTGTTTAAAGCTGGTTCAAGAAACTACCCTTTTGAACAATGTCTTGAACAGTTTTCACTCAGGTATGCTAATTCCAACCCCCATGTTCCCTTTGGGGGTCATCCAAAGCAAGAGAGCTTGTTTGAAAGTGCATAGGTGGTTGGTCAGAATTGTGTTTGTCATGGCCTGTCTGGCCATCTGTAGCCAAAACCTGGGATCTTTTGAAAGCTTCTGGCCTCAGTTTGTTTATTAGTTTATCTATCTAGGCTGATGTTGAGCCAACTTGATTCAAAAGATGCATTTTTTTTCAAGGAGAGAAGCTAATATTTTAGTGCTGAACAAGCTATTAACAAACATCAATACTCATTTCCTTTATTAGTCCATCCTCTGGGAAACGAAAACATTCTCTTGCTGTTTTAAAACTGTAGCTGTCTTTTGTTTAAAGGTCCTGCATCCTTTGTCTATAGAATTCCTCACTTACCCATGCCACAGTTCTGCAAACAAGGGCTTCTTTTTCTTCATCAGTGTAATATGTTAGCAATAGATTTGGATTGAGGGGATGTGCAATAAAGAATCATGATTTAACACATGATCTGCTGACATAGCTGGTGACTTCCCCAGTTGCCTCCCATGTTTCCGAAAATGAGTGTGAGAGCACTTTTTCATATCCCTTACCAAGCAAATTTACACCCTAATGGTTTATGTGGAGCCCATCCCATTGTAAAATACTTTTTTCCCAGAACCTAACCTACAGTGTCATGTTGCTTAACCCATGAGCAGAATGCCATACCCCTTTACCAGCTATACCAGCCCTACACCCCTATACTGGCTTTGCTTCAGCTGCAGAGGCTTCGCCCTTGTAGGCTTTGAAGGCATCCTCACTTCTTGTCCCCTGATATCATTTACCTCTTCTGTAGTGAACACTTTCCTGTCTGACAACCTAACATAAACTAACACCATGTCAGCAATTACACTTACAAATGTCAATCCTATTAACATTACATTAATATGCAAAATAAGGCACAAATTTGTCAAAAAAATGTATCCATGAAAGCAGTTTATGATCAAAAATATCTAAAAATATGTGCTGCTGCACTACTATCTAAATATATAGCTCTTCCCACTGCATCTGTAACAAAGGCATTATTGCTTTATGCAGCAACACAGCAAACTAATGTATAAAAGAGAAGTATAATGGACAGGTATGTTGGCACAAATTTACCATCAGGTATATGTATAGGGTGACAGGTATATGTGTAAGACTTGCAACTACACTCAACCCTGCAATCCATATAAAATCACAGACAATTTGTGGAAGTCAAGGCGACCTGCACTCCTGCAGGGAGTGGGGTCTGCGATAAACAACGGAGTTTGCGATCCTGTGCGAGCTACGGGGCTCAACACGACCCAGGGTTTGAGAAGTCTTAACATGGCCATGGTGTTTCCTGGTTATTCTAATTCAGAGGTTTTCAGAATTCTTCCGTTCCGACAACTCGTCCTCATCACTTAAAGATAATACTGAAATCATTGGGTAGGACGTCCTTCGCTATAGGGCATCGCAAGGCTTGACCCATGCCAGTTTGTTTTCGGTCGCGACGCATAATTGGACACGGCCTTTTAGCGTAAGAACCCATACGATCGGCTCCAAAATGACATGTGAAGACTGCCATGCGAGTGGCAGTCCAAGCTTTCCTCGCTGCTCGCTTCGAAAATTACCAGCATGTCCGCATCCGGTAGTTAAGCTTTGTGAACGAGGGAAGGGAGGGGGGAGATCCAGTATAGAACACGTGAAAATCCCGATGGCCTAGCTCCGAATGTAGCGTTATTGCACAAAAATCAAGCTTTTGAATAACATTGGTTTAATCGTCGTTCATGGGATGCCTCGGTGTCTCTGGACTCGTCAGACGCGGGTGCTTCGGGGTTGGCCTGGCGTTACCGGAACTTCTCTGACGGAGCAGCGTGACCAGTCCCGCTCTCACGGCGGCCGAGTGTCCCTGCCGTACTGGAAAGAAGCGCCGCGTCGCACGCTCGTTACCGTACAGCGCTGCACCATGCACGGCCGTCCCCACGGTCCGTTCCGGCTGGGACCAAGCACTTCCCAGGTCCAAACACAGTCCAGGTCCAAACGCGGTCCAGGTCCAAGCATGGTCCATCTTCAATCACTGGCCAGGTCAAAGTACGGTCGGGGTCAAAGCACGGTCCTAGTCAAAGCACGGCCCAGGCCCAAACACAAACACGCTGAAAACGAGCCTGCAACAGATTTGTGCTACCGTGAAGCCATTTTTAAATGGAATGTGAAATTTTCGGAATATGTTTGTTATTTCGTTTTTGCCTGAAGTTTTCTTGTCGCTGTGAAGTTTCGGCCTCAGCAAGGTGCTATGGAAGGGGAGGATAGCAATGCAGCCTTGTGGTGAGCAATAGTCAGCTGGGTCAGTCAGCGTTTTGGGTCTTAAAAAGGAGATGACCGTCAACTGCATCAAAAGGTCCTCAAGATGGCTATTTCAGTTTAAAACGCCATACAAACGTGGAACATTCCCTTTAAGTTGGCGGCGCTCCAGCCCCCCCTCCCCCTCCCCCACCACGCCAGCCCCAAATTGGGTTTCAGCCCCAGCCTTGGAAGGAAAATGGATAAAGTCCGGGTAGACACATAGTCCTCACACAAGTCCTCCTCGGGTAGACACAAGTCCTCCTCGGTAAATCCCGGGTGTGCTCTGGTAGACTGGTTGGTCAGTGCTTTGGACCGTCACTTGTTGTGAATGACCGCATGTATGATAATGAAACATCTGTCACGTCGTACTTGCTGAACATTTTCAATAAAAGCGACATCTAATTAGATAGATGTGTGGTAAAATACGGAGCGACCGTTGCGGTCCAGCGACCGTTAGTGACCGTTACGGTTCAGCGGGGCGACCGTAGCTACTTGAGCCACACGGGTGAGTAGCCACACGGGTGAAAGAAAGATTCTCGACGTCTGTGGATCACAGTGTATGAGTTTTGTGCTGAAAATCAGCACTTTAACGTGAAGTTACGGCCTGATCGCACGTCTAATTGGTGCAAGATCAAAGGCCAGAAACTGCGCCGAATTTTTTGCGCGTCTGAATTGTTACAGCAGATCTATTTTACGCCAGTGTTCCTGTAGGAGTTTGAAGTGGCAAGTGTGTTGTCATATTGGTATGCGGACTGTTGATATGTAAGGAAGCACTGCTCACTCAAACATCCGGGAAATGTATCGCTTGGGTTAGGTGTCATGTAACGACAAACTCGTAAGCCTTGGTTGTCTGACTAGCTGTGACAGCGGTGCTCATGCCATTCTGGGGCGTGCTACACGGCGTCCCCCGCCGCGCGCGCAACAGGAAAACGCCTGGCTCAAACTTTTGGGGGATTGTTACCGGTAGAGTGTTGCACGGACAGAAATGTCTTAAAAATCCGAAACCTGTTTTAAGGGTGTTCGAAATGTTCTGTCGACGCCTTTAAGCTTGTCGTCGGCTGTGTGATGGTCGGCTGGTGTGCCGCCATTCTCGGCGTGGGAGGTCGCCAGGTGACTGCGTGCGTTCAGACTCGTCTGATGGTCCGCACCTGCTCTGTTTCAGCGGGCTTCCCTGCGGGGTGAAGCCGCCCTCCTGGTACAACGTGGAGCGGCCGGGCTCCAGCGCCCAGGCCGCCGATGACCCCTATCACACCATCAGCACGCGCATGACGTACTTCCAGTCGACCTGTGATCTGAGCGCTGCGCGCCGCGCGGGCGAGCCGGCGGCGGCCGGCTCGCCCGCTCTGCACAAGGCAGGGCCGCTGCCTGCTCCGGCGCGCCGCCACCACCACCGGGCCGGCCGCACCACAGTCCGCTTGCGGCCGCGCCAGGTGCTCTGCTCCAACTGCAAGAGCATCTGCACAGAAAGCCTGCAGAGCGTGCAGCCACAGGGCCGGCGGCGCCGCGATGGCGACGAAAACGTGGACCCGGCGGCGGAGCGGCCGGTCGCCGTCCAGCCGCTCAAGCTGCCGCGCATCCCCATCGTGCGGCTGAGCGCCCAGCAGCTGCGCGGCTCGTGCCCGGACGACGACGGCGGCGGCAGCGGCTCCAGCGGCTCCTCATCGTCCTCCTCGTCCTCGTCGTCGTTGTCGGCGTCGTCGTCACCGCCGCCGCCGCTGCCGCCGCCGCCGTCATCGTCGCCGCCGCTGCCGCTGTCGCCGCCCCCGCCGGTCGCCAAGCTGACAGTCAGTCCCATCAAGATAGTGGGCAACAACGTGAAGAAGTGCGCCGCGCCGCCACCGGCCGGCACCAAGCCCAAGCTGCAGAAGATCAAGATCAGCTGCGGCGCGATCGTGCCGTCGCCGGCGGCGCCCGCCGAGCCGGCCGGCGACGAGCGGCCGCCGACGGACCGGCGCACCGGGCTGCGCAAGCGGCGCCTGGCCGCCGGCTCGATGGAGGACCTCTGGGACGAGTCGGTGCTGGTGGACGGCCACGGCGCCGCCGCCGGCGAGCCGGACGCCGCGCTGACGCCCGTGCTCAAGATTTCGTTCGGCGGCCGTGGCGGCGCCGGCACCGTGCTTAAGATCCCGGCCAAGTATAAGGTGCAGGCGACAACGGCGGCCGGCGACTCGGAGCCCGAGCGGGGCGCGCTGCTGCCTGTCCGACCCACGGCCAGCGCCAAGGCGGCGCGCCGCGCGCTCAAGAAGGCTCGCAAGGACGTGCAGCGCAAGCTGGTGGGCTCGCCGCGAGCCTCGCCCGCCTACCCATGGGGTGCGCGCTCGCCGGCCTGTCCGCGCCTCTCGCCCAGCTACCCGCAGATGTCGCCGGCGTACTACCGCGTAGCCGGCGGCTCGCTGACGCTCTCGCCGGCGCACCAGAGCTCGCAGGCGCCCGGCCCGCTGCGCAAGAAGCGCCACAAACACAAGCTGAAGCACAAGCGCCGCCGGCGCGACGAGCGACGTTCCAGCGACGACGGGCCGCCGTCTGCGTCCGAGGTGCGTGGCGGCGCGGAGGCCGTCGGACTTCGCCCGTCTGGTAAAAACGGAGTCGTGCCTGGGGAATGGCTCCGTGGCCGGCCGCCTGGACTCTCTTGCGTGTATGATCGAGGTGATCAGGGGCACTTAAATGCACGGTACCGGCTCTCCTCGCTGAGTGCTTCGTCGTATCTTTTCGTATCTGAGCGTCGTGACACAAATCGCTAACGAAGTGAAATGTTCGATTCGTGCAAATGAAAGCGAGGCCACATTTTTCGGCGTGCAACTCTTGCACCACATTCAGGTAATTACCCGGTTAGGAAATGTGGGTGACCTTAAGCTTACCTTGAGTTGCAAAGCCCTGCTGTCATGGCTTGAACATGATGACAGACTTAACATCGCGCCGCATTAGGCGCTTATTGGCCGGTGATGGGATGTGGTTATGCACATCTGTTCGGCAAGTGGCGTAGAGAGAAGATGGACTGCCACCGACTTCTCCATCCGCCGCTGTGCTGGGCGTCCTGACCCGCCGCGCCGTCCTCAGGTGGAGATGAAGGAGCGCTGTCTCTCACAGAAGCTGTCCATCTCGCTGCGTCGGGTGCGCGCCAGCGAGTACGCGGCCGACGGCGGGCCGCCGCCGCCGCCGGCGCCGCAGGTGCCGCCATTCCCGGAGGCGAGCCCGCCGGAGCCGGCCGCCGGCTCGGCCGCCTTCTGCGCGCTGCACGACGGCCGCCTGCTCCGACTGCACGACGTTGTCTGGGGCAAGATTCACGGCTTCCCCTGGTGGCCGGGCAAGGTCAGTGTGTAGCCAGAGTCAGGTCAGTCAGCGTGGTCAGATCAGCCGCCAGGCGCTCTCCGGCTGCCGTGCCTGGCGTTGGGGCGCGCGGTGGTGGGCGTCACCGGACGCAGGGGCGAGGTGGGGTCGGGGGCGGCGGCAGCGGCGGGGACGGTGTGTGGGCGTGTTGCCGAGCGGCGCGTGATCGATAGTGGGCGTCACCGGACGTAGGGCGCGGGGTCGGGTCGGGGGCGGTGGCAGCGTCGGCGACGGTGTGTGGGCGTGTCGCCGAGCGGCGCGTGATCGGCGCACTGCCGCGCCCCGCTCGACCGCAGTCACGTGGACGCTGCCGCCGGCGAGCGCAGAGGCGGGGCGCACGGGCCGGGGACGTGTCCGAGGCTGACGCCGTCTGCGCCGTTGCTCCCAGGTGATGTGCATCAACGACGCGTCGCCGGCATACCAAGAGGCGTACGTCTCCTGGTATGGATCGACCACCTCCTCGCTAATGCCGTGCAGTCAACTGCTGCCATTCCTAGATACTTACGAGGTAGGTGGGGTGCCGCAGAGCGTGTCGGCTCTCAGCTGTGAGAACGCTCGGCTTGCCAGCGGGAACGTGCGTTATTTATGGCCCGAGCGGTCGGCGGTCCGTTACGGCTGACTGTGTTTCAAGTGCTCCGCCAGCATTGGGCGTGAGAGTTTGCGTTGTTCGTGGGCATTGCTGTAACGGACGGTGTGCAACAATCGCCAGATGACGAAAGGTAGGTAAGCACCCTTCATGTATCCCTGGCCCAGATAGCCTGTGCGGCGTATGCTCTCGAAAACCTGTTTGACCTGTGACCCGCCGGTGCGCTATGGTAATCCGCTCGGCCTTCCTGTTATCTGGAATTAACTTCGAACTTTTTTAAGCAGGCCCATCGAACATCGTGTACTCAATGTGTAGTTATTAGCTTGAACACATTGTTCAAAGGAATGCGTCGATGCCAGCTCAGGTAAAAGAGGTATGACGTCATAAGGAGGGCATGCGCTTTTAGAGGTAGGAAGTTATATCCCTTGTTGTGGTGTAATGCATCGTCTGCTTTGCTTTATGACAGTCGGAGTGAGTTGTCATGCCTCACGAGGCTACAATAGGCCACAAGCGATGCGTATGTCAGGACGTCCTGGTAAGTGACGAAGCGAGGTGAAAGTCAGGCACTGTTCATGCGGATAATCGGGAAACGATCTTACAAAATATTGATCGTTAGCAGATCATCATAAGACAACAGGTCATCCGACTTCGAAAACAGGAGAATTGGGGTTGTACTGCTTGTGAAAGCTGAGTGCTGACCCGAAACACAACTCTGACAACGCGTGGACATTGGCACGGAAAGTAGGCCTGCGTCCATTGTCTATGGCGCTTTTGCTGCATTGTGCGCCTTGTTGTCTTGTGGGTTGTTGGCGCTCATTTCATGCACCCGTGGTTGTGGCTGACAGTCTGGTTTAAGAGTACAGCATAACTAAGACGCGGAAGATTTTGCTCTCGTATGGAGCCAGTTTGAGCGCTACCGTGTGGCGATTGCGGCTACCAGGCCCTCAAAATGGCCAGACGACTTTGAAAAATTGGGTGTTGTTTTAGTGAACTGTTATCATCAGTCAGTTAGCAAATGTCACTGCAATGTTCCTGAGTCGAGTGTAACCCTGGAAGGACGAGACAAACATATCGACAGGTGCGATCTGCTTCCTAGCTTTGAAGACCTAGGAACAGACGAGAGTAAGAAATATCTGATGGCGGGGAAATGTGTAAAGAAATGGAACAATATAGAATGGGCCTATGAACTGTATCTCATATCCTGTCAAATGGGCAGCGGCTATTTTTATATATAATTTATTTTATGTTATTTATTATTTTTCAATTTATTATGTATTCTATAATTTATTATATAGATATAATAAATTAATATAATTACATACAATCTTCGCCGGTGTTCGCCGGAGCGAGAGCGTCCCCTGTTTTGTTCCTGGCCGTGAAACGTTAGTACGAGCCACGTGAGCCGCACAATCTAAGCTGTCTGCTCTGCTTATGAATAATGGATGACGCCCCTTTCTGTGTGTCGTCTTGGCCTTCTGCCGGGAAACCACGCGCCTTGCTGAACGTAGCAAGTGATTTTTGGTTATGCCAGTGCTCTTTAACCTCCGCCATTAAAAGACGTCCCCTGCCTGGTGTCAAACGATGCCTATGGTTTATCATGCCTCTGAGAGATCACGTGATCAGTAGACATGATCAAGGGGAGGTCAGTGAACTCTAAAGTCACTGAACTTTCATTGGGACAACGATTATGTCCTTGCCGGTTGTTTTGTTCCAAAAAGGGTAGGAAATCCGAAACTCATTGTATCCCGTTGCCTATGACATATCGTACATGGTGTACATGATGTATTACACCGACCTGCGACATCCGTATGTTAGATACATCGATAAAACTACGAAATATCAACTCAGACAGGACCTGGATCACTAACATCCATTTACCATCGTAACGAGCAGTTGCCGCTTGCGCAGGTAATGCTATCTCACAACGAAGCGCCAACGCTCACGCCGGCAGTCGAAATCTCCGTATTTGGTGGCGTGGATGTGAAGCTGTATGTTCGAGTGCTGGATCGCCTTCAAGGAGCCTGGCTCTATTTCACCGTCATCTTCATGTTTGATGCCCTAAAAAAAACTGATAAAGAATATCCAGATGTTCTCGTTCGATTTGTTCAGTAGATAGTGCTGCTCCTTTTGCCTCGGGTGTTTACCGAGCTTCCCTGTGTCAGAGAGTTCCTGTTTTTGTTCGCTTTTATTTGTCTTCACAAGCTTTTCAGGTTTGAAGTTTCTTTCATTTGTTAGCAGAAAATAACTCAAACATGGCCCACAGAAAGGCGATATCCTGGTCATGTTAGAAAGGCAGGCAGTGACTCGTCAAAATACCGGCTGGACTTAACCGCCGTTATATCGGCATCTTGTTCGTGGAAAACAATTAATCCTCAAGCCTTGCGATGGCCGTTCAGGGCACTCAGTCGTCTCTTGTATTCACACACGACAGGCTGCGTCGCTGTTCACACCCCACCCTAACCCCCACTCGCCTGCGACCCCAGCCCATGCAGCCCAGCAGGGCACGTGACCGGGGCGCGTTTGCCCGTGTTTTCAGAGCCGGGTCAACCGGAAGCGACGCGGTCCGTACCGGGAGGCGATCCGGCAGGCGACGCTGGAGGCGCAGAGGGCGCGACCGCCGCCGCCGCCGCCGCAGCCGCTGGCGCTGGCCGGCTCGCCGCGCGAGGTGGACGTGGCCTCCTAGAGCGTCGGCCGGCGACCGGACGGGCGCCGCCACCTAGCCGCACGTTGCCAAAGACGAGTGGCGCCGACTGCCGGGCTGCTGAGGGAGTGTGTCTTGGCGCTGCGCAGGGCTGGCGGCACTGTGATGCTGACGACGCGCGCAGCGCCCCGGAGCTGCTGACGGGTCGGGCCGCCGCCGCCGCCGCCGCTGCCGCTGGCCGCCGCTGGCCGCGCGCCTCGGGCGGCCTCTAGTCCCGACTGGCCCCGCTCAGGGCGCCTCATTCCGCCGTCAGATGCCCACGCTTCGCCCGGCCGCTTGGGCCCCTGTTGTGTTTGCCATCGTATCTGTGTTGTCTGTCGGACCGTTGGCGCGCTCGGACGGCCGGCAGTCGCTGGAGACGAAGGCGGGGGCTGGGTACGTTCGCTCCTGCCAGCAGCAGGCTGCCACTCAGCTAAGCTGTGCAGTTGGAGCAGACCGTGCTTGGATGCAATTATGTGGCTACTGGGTCGTGCACGAATACATTTATATCCAGGTCCATATGGAACCAAGCGCAAGGGATGCCAGCGTTTAGATTTCACATAGTCATAGGCGTAGGAACGTTTCAAAAAATGAGGGGGGGGGGGAAGCTCAGGGCGTCATTTAGGAACTTTTCTGGGAAGCATGCCCGATGGCCGGGGGGGGGGGGGGGGGTTAAAGATGGAGGCTGTTAGCACTATTTATCCAAATGTCATGGCCGCTATGCATGGCATATGCATCTGACTGTTTCTCGATGGTTCACAATCCTGCGTATTCGAATCATTTATGTCATTTAGCAAAGAAGGCTATCCAGCTTCCCAGGATTATTCGTTTATTTCAACATAGTCTTTCCTGGGGAGGCAAAACTCCAAGAGCGTGTGGAGGCGTTTTGGGTCATAGAGGAGGCATCTGCCTCCACAGGGTAGATGCCAAAATACGGCCTGGACGTAGACTGGTGAGAATTTTAAAAGTGAATCGATGGTCCGTAGCGCGAGGTTCTTTTATTTGCCTTCATTTCGCTGGGTGCTTGTCGAGAGATAGGGCTTGTCGCAACATTTTATGCGGAAACAAATTCGAAAGCTCAAAACTGCCAACAAACAAGTGTCACAAAAGTTATAAAAGTGGAGATTCTCCTTTTAAAACTCAGCCACAGGATGAGGGCTCTTCTGTCATATACTCTCTATGTGGGCCATGCTCCCGTCCGCCGCCGGCTGTCACTGCCCTGCCCCGGCTGTCTCTCACATGACTGCAAACTGATCGTGTGGCTGCTTTGTTGCATATTTCTGAATCGGCGTTGCTACTGATTGGTGTGTTGCATTATGCATTGGACACCTGCAACAGTATCCCGAATGATCTTCCCCTACACCACACCACCGCAGAAAAAGCGCCCGGGAAGCTGCCAGCCTTAGGTATGAATTGGTCCAACGGACTTTCAATTGCCTGTCATTCAACGTAGCCGTTCTGCTTTCGTGTGTAGGCAGGGGCGTAGCCACGACCTTGCCAAGGGGAATACGGGGTTGACAAAAGCTCCTTTTGTGGCAACCCCCCAAAAAATCCTGGATATAGCCCACTGTTAACGAGGAACACGGTTTTCTTCGATTTATTGCTATTTTTGCCTTGTAAATGGAACGAAAATCAAACGCTGCCGTGAGATCAATTTTGTTAGTATTTTGAAGTCAATAAACTGGAGACATGAGGCGTTAAACGACCGCATGAAATAATTCACCGGCACCCTTTGTTTATAACGGCTTAGTGAACTCTTTCTAAACCGATAAAATTCAGAAGCGTTGTCAGAATTTTTATCTGGGCCCTACAGACATTAAAGACATCGCGGAGACAGATCGCAAATCAATACGTTTGATCAAAATATGATCGCCGATCCAATGGTCAGCAATTTGTCTTAACATGGCCGAGCCGCGTTTGTCTGGTAGTGTCCAGCATTCATTCAGAATCGATTAATGATGCAACCTGTGTAACCCAGTTTTTCAACATGCGCGCTCGCAGATCTTGCAACAAGACCTCGGTACCAGGCTGTGCACTCTTTTGTTCGCGGAGCGTAGCCCAGCATGGGCGCTGCATGACCTTCAGCAGTCGAGGCGCCCAAATCATCATCATCATCACGAGCGTAGCCCACCCCAAATACCCCATCACCCCAAATCATCATCATCACGAGCGTAGCCCAGCGGCTTCGAATTAGCCATGGCCCACCGGTGGACAAAGTTGATGGTGCTTCTGAAATGATTATTTTTAAACACTTGAATCGATTAGTGATACAAGTAATATTACGTAGTTTGGGCATGCGCACTCGTAAATCCAACAAGAACCTCCACGCCAGGCGTTGCAGTCTTCACAGGCCGGGCGGCATTGGCCCAGCAGCTTATATTGAGCCATGGCCAACAAGTGGACGAAAATTATGACAGTTCTGAAAGAAGTACTTTTGAATGCTTCAGGGTATCAAATCTTGCATTTAGAAAGCAGTCTGGGCGCATATTTCACGTGCGCGGTTTTTAGACTGATTAGACAATCGCCCTCGTCGCCGCCCTTGAGAACGCTTTGAGAAGTGAGCCTGATGTGTGGACACATCCGGGGTGAAGATCAAAAGATCACGTTAACCTCCGCATCTCTTAGGCAATCCGCCATCGCTGTTCCTATGATACGCAGCCGCGCACGTCAGCGTGTCGGGAGGGGGGGGGGGGATTTCGGTCGTTTGAGAAATGGTCATCAAGTCTGCATTTACAGACGCCCCAGTCCGTTGTCACCGAGGGCGTATCCAAGGGGCAAGGAGGGGAAGGGGACCGGAGATACCCTCCTCAAAACTTCCACAATCGGGGAAAAACCTACTTTTGAAAGCTTGGCGCACAAGAAAATATCGACCATTGATGGCAAGTAAACAACACTCCTATAAGTAAAAGGAAACGAGGTCCGGTGACCAAAAACCAAGGAACGTTGAACTTTAACCACCCCCAAGCTTCCGCTGCCTCACCCCCACCCACCAAGCCAGAGTTTTGCGTCCACCCCCCGTTAACTGCCCCCTCTAACTGCTAAGCTCTTCAGCTGTTAACAAGAAAACAAAGCGAACGATTTAAAGTCCGCTGTCAATCGCCCGCCCACACGCTGCGAACCGCTGAGAGCTGAACGACATAGGAGCTGCTACAAACGTCAGCGGGACGGTGCGCTCCGCCCGCGCTCGGTGGCGTAGAATGCAGGGACTTCACCATGACGTCACAGAAAATAACCAATCAGAGTTCACCACGCTAGCTCGGGTGACTCATACAGACGTCAGCGAGGTCCCGTCCAATCGCTGCGTTACACGACGGAATTGCGTTGCCCGGCTCAGCCCTAGCTGTCCACTGTGGGCTCGCTGCTGACGAAATGGGGAGGGCGCGGGTGGGCCTCCGCGGATGGGACTGCTCCAGATGAAAGTTGGAGTGAGTGAAGTGCGGAGGGCGTTGTGAGAAGGTGCGAGGGATAAGGCGGCGAGAAGAGCTGGAAGCCAGCGCGCGGAAAGTGGTGTCTGTTGGAGACATGACTACCAAGATCATCATCACGCCTGCTAGCCATGGAACTATCAAGACCAACACTGGAGGGATGCCCAGAACGGTGCGGGTTGTAACAGTTGGAGGGCAACTGAACAGGAACCAGACCAAGGCATCAGTGGTGACATTGCCCGTGCCAGCCTCTGTTACCCGGGCGGTACAGGGATCCAGAGGCGAAGCCCGCACAGTTGTCAAAAGGCTTTTCGATGCTGACAGCGTCAATCAGAGTCAGCTAACCATGATACCGAGTGCGCCAAGGAAACGGCAGAGACTTGACCACCTAACTTCTGATCAGAAAAACCAAAGGCGGTAAGTCCAGAACAAGTTTTATGTGCATTGAGAGGGGAATTGGCAGGTTCATAAAGCCTTACCAATTGGAGGGCCAGAGACATATGGCAAGTAGATAGGTGGCATCTAGTGGTGCATGCCATGCCACACTGTCACGGTCATTGATACTGGAACATTTTTGAATTATAACAGATTTAAGGACCATGTGTGCAGCAATCACGTTCACAGGTATTAATTCTCTGGCTCTTTATGCTGCAAGCATAATAGGCCACTTGAAGTGATTGCTCACATGGCAACTGTTTTCCAGGAAGTTGAAGAACAGAGTAGCAGCACAGACTGCTAGGGACAGGAAGAAAATGCAAATGGATGTGTTGGAAAGCAGGGTGGCAAGTCTCGAACGCCAGGTGGGTTCAGCAGTCCAATTGGGATTGATGGGTTGGTTGTCTGTGTTAAACTGGGATCCTTGTTGTAACAGTAGCATTTTGACATGTAATCAGTCTCTATTATATGGAGTGTCAGCAACAAAGTAATGTTAGTGCCCACAGCCACAATGCCAACAGGGTTGTAACCCAGCCTAAAATATCAGGAATGGAGATGCCAACAATGCAGGCACAGTGGTCATGCTTGATGCCAAACCACCACTTACATGTATTGTATTCACTTTGCATGGGTCATGCCAGGGCTGCTGGAGTGGGCTATACATGCACCCCTGGGACTGGGCCCAGCAGGCAACAGCTTTGTGCAGTGTTCCCTTTTAGACATGTCCAAATGCTGAGAAATGTGAGGCTCAAGCACCATTGTGATTTGTGTTTCCCTTCCACAGAATGATGAACTTCTCCAGCAAAACAACTTTCTCAAAAAACAGAATGATCTGCTGAGCACCCAGAATGCCCTGCTTCAAGAGCGTCTTCAAGAGCTGCCAGAGTCCAAGCCAAGCCAACTGGAGTCTGAGCCCAAGTTGAATCAGCCTCAGCCATCAGCAATTGCCATCACTGGCAGCATGTCCTTTGAGTCTGCAGCACTCATTAGTGGCCCTCAGCAGAAGGGACAGGACATGCGGGTGCCGGCACTGCTGATGCTGAGCCTGATCAGCTGGGCCAGCTTCCAAGTGGCTCTGGCGACGGCAGGGAATCAACATGCTGACCTGCTTGAGCTCCTCACGGAAACACTGTTTGGAAATGGAGAGGTAATTACACCCTGCAGATGATGTATGGTTTGCCCCCCCCCCCCCCAGCAACCCGTGCATGATGATAATGCACTTGTTAGGCAAGGCTGGTACAAAATTATTTGACCATTAGTGTCAGCTGCATGCTATATGTTCTACCATTTATGGGGTCATGGTATGCTGGTCGGATGGGGTCTATTACTATATTGCTAATGAGTATGGCGCGTAGTTATCTATATGCTGACCCCCCCCCCCCCCCTCCTTCCCTCCGCAGACGCCTGAAGGAAGCCCGCAGCCCGCCGCCACTGACGTGGTGGGGGCCGCAGCAGAAGAGCTGGAGTCCGGCGATGATACGATGAGTGAGGAGGAAGCGCCGGCGGCGCGGCTGGCGGCGCTGCTGGACGCGCCGGCCGGCCCCGAGGACGACCTGCTGGCTCAGCTGCTGCGCGGCGCTCAGCCAGACGAGCTGCTGGCCCTGCAGCAGGAGGCGGCCGTGCCCGAGTCGCCGCAGCCGTCGCCAGAATCGCCCTCCCTACCGCCCTCGCCCGCTGACCACCGCGACCTTGACGACCTTGTCAAGGTCAAGACGGAGATCGACGACTGGCCCATGTTTGACGAGGAGCCCCTAGACAACCACTTTGAAGATCAGTTTATTTTGTTTCCGCAGCTCGTGCTGTAGACGTGTTATTGCTAAATGACTTATCACGCATCATTTAATGATCACTGTTTTGTTTGTCAGACAATGTTTTGATAGTTTATCACATGAAATGTCGAATTATTGGTGGGGCTGTGCAGGGGATGCTGACCGGTGTCTTCAAATAAAGCGCTCAGCGAGCGGGAGAACTCTTTTAGCGGAGGAGACTGGAAAGCCGGGTGGGTCGTCGGGGGGGGGGGGGGGGGGCTGGCTCGCACGCAGGATGGACACAGCTGTAGCAGCACGCTGGAAGGATTTACCGCCTCCATATTACGAGACAGACCCTCCTCTGCTTGCCACGCACCGGCGCATCTCCGTCGCCGGGCGGAACCGCTGCCCATACACGCTCAAGTGACTGCCGGTGCGATACACCTCCTCGCGGAACAAGGCGCGAACTGCGGACACCGACAGCGGTTAGGTCGTTGAAGGGATATATTGCATCGTATTGTGGCAACCTGCGCCCCATATTCATACAAACACAGCTAAAAACGAAGCACGTGCGTCGCGATGACGCGAGCAATTGTACTTTGGAAAAATCAGGCAATTAACTTGCCTGGTCGCGCGAGGTGCGTCGATCACAGTGGCGAGTGCGAGGGAGTTAACGCATGGGTCCCCGCGCGGCGGCAGTGACGATCACGCACAGGCCAGGGTGCGCCGAACCGCGGCCGGCGGTGGTGGCACAGCGCCCGCCCGCCGTCACGTGTCAGACGCCTGCGTCCCGCCGCCGAACGTGCCCCGCCTGAACTTGTACAGCTCCTGGAGCACGGCCACTGCGAAAAAATGGCCCGTCACTCAGTCTGTGGCGCTCTACACACACACACGTCTGCAACGTGTTGTCATCAGTGCCAAGGTGTCCTAATTATTCGTCCGCTCAATCTCGATAAAATATGGCTATTTACCATAAGCTGACTACCTTTCGGTCACCGACCTTTGTCCAGTAAAAGTTCCACGCAAAATGTTGCGACGAAATGTGAGTTGGAATTGACATAGGCTAGTGACCGAAATATATTGACTGAAACTTGTTGGTTCCATTTTATTTAGGGTGAGCATACGGGCATGCAAGATATTTCGTACTTCAAATCGTCTTGCTCGCATCTGCCCCTCAACAACCCATTTTTGCGATCAATAACCACTGAAGGCAGACAATTGCGAAGCGTCAAATTGGCTCAATCACAAGCCAAGTCCCAAATTTGGCTAACATCGAGGACGGTTGCGTTTCTGCTTCTGTAACGCTGTGGACATATTGCTGAATTTCGGAAACAATGGGGGACATGTCCTCCCCTCTCGTGGCGGAAACCGTGCATGACCATATGGTTAATAAGGACAACACAGGCCAACACCCATATAGCCCACCCCCTACTTGTGACAGATGGGAAGCCAGAAGCTTCGCACTCGAGTCTTCCCGGAATGATCAGATAAGTGGGCTGGCTCTTGCACCTGCTCCATAAACATACCGAAACCCGGCACAATTGTCTTTAAAGATACGGCCCACCACATTACGTCGTCAGACAAGGAAAAACACCCGCGAGAAAGCTCAATACCGTCGTGTCGCAATTTTGCATGTTACCTGTCGAGCGTACCGCAACATACCGGTCACACCACTGGGGCCTGCCCAGTCAGGTTTCGCTCGCGGCGTTTTATGCACACGCCCACCAAAAATAGCTTGGCCCGTTACGCTGCACAGCTGTGAACTCAGGAAAGTGAGACTCATTTTGAGACTCGGCAGGTGCGGCGGTGCCCCATGTCTCCACCGCACGCCATGCCGCCACGGCACGCTTCAACGGGATCTCAGCACCCCGACCTGCCTAATTCCACTGCAGAACAGGGGAGGGAGACGTCCGGCTTCGGTCACCGGTGCCGCGTCTCCCGTCGACGAGAGCCCGCCACCGCGCCGCTCGGCGCCGCACTCACCGAGCTGCGCCGAGAGGCCCAACTGCCGCCAGCGCCGGCCCAGCGTCTCCATCGCCACCAGGTAGTACATGCGCACGCGCGACACTGACGCCGAGAACGCTGTGTCCAGGTCGGAGAGCCGGTGGAGCGCCGGCAGCAGCGTGGCCGCCCAACTCGCCTCGCCGCTCCCTGGCGGGGCGCGGCACCGGTCAGCGCCGCCGGCGGCCGTCGCGCGCGACAAACACCTGCTCTTCCCACCCTCGCAGGTGTGGGTCAGAACTATGTCGATGTCTAAGCGCATGTAGCGTCGACGTTCAATGCAGCCGCCGCCTAGAACGCTACTGCACATTGGCTTGCATTTCGAAGAAAAACTACTGTGGTTGTATATCAATAGGAGAAATCGCCACTGATCAGCAAAGTTCAAGCTGTTCGCCATATTGAATCTGAGAATAATCACGGCATGAAGACAACATATTCTTGCCTTCTTCAGCATACAACACCACGACTCCCCTTCAGTTCCCTTTTCATAAGATACCAGTAATCTCTGATGTGAAACGCGCAGGAGTGGACATCATCATAGCGAGCTTGCTGACCTACAGCAGCTCACCTGATACAGTGCGGCACCTGGCCAGTCATGCGTGCGCCTGTGTCTGTCACTCACCATGCTCCCAGTCATTCACCACCCGGTACAGTAGCTGTACCACGAGCAAGGTCAGGTTGCTGCGACAGCACGCCGTCGGCGGCAGCGACGCCTGGCGGGACATCACTAGCGCCACCAGGCGGACCCACTGCGAGTCTGGGGACACGTCCAGCGCTGGCGGGGTAGTGACCTGAAAGGACGTCCGTCAACGTCGGCAACACGCCCGGCAACACGCCCGTCTTTCCCTCCGGATTCCGACCTCTTGACGTCCGGCACGCCTTCCGCTGAAAGGCACAGTGCACAAACAAGCGTACTGAGACAAGTGTTATAGCAGGAGTACGAAGCAGTGTACGTTCCCCTGTATGTGGGCACGCTACAGAAAAATACGCGCGGAGCCAGACGTCCACCCCGCGGCCCGCCTGGCCGCTGATGGCGCTGGCCAGGGCGGCGCGCTGACCGTCCAGTGCTGCAGCTCTGGCGGACGCAGCTCTCCCCGCAGCTGGCGCACGGCGCGGCCGGGCGGCGCCGCGCGCTGCCCGCTGTGACTGGGCGGCACCCGGTGACTGGGCGAGGCGGCCGCCGTCGGGCCGGCCGAGAACAGCATGCACAGCTTCTTCACCAGGCACGTGCCTGAGGGCAGCGGGCAGCGTCCGCCGACGGTCAGCGGCGTCCAGCCTGAGGCGTCCGCCGACGGTCGGCGGCACCCAGCCTGAGGCTGGCTGGAGCGTTCAGGGCCGCGCGGGTGCCCAGCCACGCCCGTAGACCAGCCGGTGCACGGCCTGATCCACAGTCACACATGATACGTCGGACATGAGCTGTCACGGCCCGGACTCGCATATCCAACGCGACTTTCAGGGTAATCCGTAGTTTACTTTAATGAAATGCAAATACACATTCAGATGGGGACCCTTCGGCCAACAATACCGTCCGCGAACAGAACGGTTTCTAAATGGCTCAAGGTATCATAGACCAGCGATAGGTCGTACATGCACACACCTTTGCAAGTCCAAAAATGAGGGCGGCAGTAATGTTCAAATAAGAATGCCTATGTACAGTATCTTAATAATCAGTACAGTCTGCGTGAGTACAGTACAGTACGGTGCAGTCTGCGTGAATTTATCGTTCACAAAGACGTCGCTGGCTCAGTCAAGTATCTATTTCAACATTTCGTCACCTCAGAGCCAACCATCCCAGCTGCTCACCTATCCGTCGCTGTACGCTCTCTCCAAGGACGTACCTGTCGGCTGATCACCGACTCTCCGGCGGCACCAGAGGGCGCTGATCTGCCCGGTGCCGGCGGTGCTGATCAGCAGCTCCAGCACCCCCATCAGCACCCGGCCCGGCGGCTTAGTGTTCAGCAGCTCGTTCAGAGGCGGCTCCAGACGTTGCAAACTGGTGCAAACAGGACGGCGTCACCATCCAGTGGTCTACGGATGGCACCGCGAGCGACATGGAACCACCGCCGCCGTGACCACACGGTCCGCACCCCGGTGACGTCACTCTGACTCCACCCAGGTGACGACACCGCGTCATCGCCCGGGGAAGCTGCGGCATGATGCGACGGAGGTGCAGAGAGACGCATCGGAACCCGTCGTGTCGACTGGTGCGTTCAGAATGGCACCCGTCATGCGTCACGGCTTGTGAGCGGCGCGGCACGCCCCCGGCGTGACCGCAGCCTCGCTCAGCCCCGTCACGGCGTCACGTGACACGACCAGCGCGCTAACAGACGGCGGCCGACAGAGAGCGAACGGCCTCCGTGCCGAACGTGCTGGACACGGCTATTGGACACAGCCAGGTTAGCCTTACAAACGGTTCGGGAACTCACAAATCGTCGGCGAGAGGCTGATTGGCGAGAGTTCCCAGCAGTGCACTCGTGTACTCCAGTATGAGAAGGTTTCTCACCTCACCCTGGAACAGTGGATACCATGGTACTAGTACATACGACCCTTGCAATTTTAAGCGCTTTGAAATGCGTTCTGTTAGTTGCACGGATACATGAAATACCTTTGGGAATGAGGCTTTCAGTGCGTACGTATTACATTCCGATACCTGCTGAAAATTTGCATTACATGCGCCACTTTTACCCACAATTTGACCGATGTGTTTCACCACGTTTTTTCCTTCCGCAAACAGATCATAAACCATACTTCGCGAAAGAATTCATGGAACCCTGTCCGTAAAAATACGCACACCGAGTATTCACCTGTTGAATGAAATGGAAATGCAGCTGTAACTACAATTTTAAGGGACGATGTGCTGGCACACATTTCATAATTTAACTGATTATTGTCCCGCCACTGCTGCCGTCGTTTACGCAATGTTTTAAATGGATAATTCTCCGGCTGTTAACCGGTGTTGGCTGGTCCTGAGCGGGACCGGAGAATGTGTGGCGTTAAGTTTACCGTACATACAGCTTCGAAAGTTCCATGCAGTTTTAGGCTCCAATCTCACAGCTTTGAAAATCATAGACCGACACACAATGCTCTTTCCATTACGACCTCAACATTCACTCAACGCCTTCCCTGCACAGCCTCTCCTACTCGACTATACGGCTCGCATGCGAAATGATGATACGCCAGCGGTACAGACCGTTCTATTCATCATATGTTCGGCAAATGTCCAGCAGATATGCAGAGGTATGAACAGGTGACAAGGCAATAATGGGCGGCCAGAAGGGCAGCTGGATAAGGACGCGTTTGAAAACCACTGTGATTTCACTGTACGTGATATGAAAATACACTGCCATTTAGCAACAGGGGCGTAATAACATGAGTGAGCACTCACAAACACGTCGAAAAATGCATGACTGAAGCAAAGTTTAACGTTACGCCGCAGGCTGAATCGGCGCAGTTCAACCGGGCGTCGTCAAATTAGCCACGTCACGGCACAGCCGGCCGTTCTGTAGCCGGCTCGGCGGCCCCGGACGTGCGCCCGCCAGGCCAGTTGGTACCCCACCTCCACAATGACGGGCCGCAGCAGCGTCAGCAGCAGCTGGGTGAGCGGCGCGTGCCCCAGCACGCAGGCCGGGAGGCCGGGCCACGCGGCCAGGCGAGTCAGCGCCGCCAGCACGGCAACGGCGGCGCGCTCCTCGCGCAGCAGCGCCAGCAGAGCCGCGGCCCGCCGCCGGCCGGAGCCCAGCGTGCACAGCCGCCTGCCGGTGCAGCGGCGCAGCCGTGAGAGCCACAGAGGACGGCCGACCGCACAGAGGTCAGTGGGAAGCACAGCTAAGGACATACAGCCGCAGGAGCAACAGTCAGCGGCACGGGGACAAACAAAAGAACGGAGCAGAGACGGACGGAGAACACCACAGGGACGAACAGGGAGCCGCCTCGAGCAGGTACGGACAGCGTCACCGAGGCAGACACAGCGCGACACAGAGACGGACGGCGGGCGGCAGAGAGACGGTGAACAGAGCGGGGAAGGGACGGTGCAGAGAAGGGATAGTGAGCCACACAGCTGATGCGTGACGGTGAGCGACCAAACGACAGCTCAGTTGTAGAAAAAATCGCGACAAAGAAACGGGCATATTGCCACTCGGCTACGGCACGGTAAGCGGCAGAAAGACAAAGGACAGGCGGAGCACAAACGACAGACGAGTATAAAACCGGCACACCACTGACGCGGCGAACAAAACAATACCGTCTGGTCGTCCAACATAGTACGCAAGGGAAATACGAAATTTCGTTGGCTGCTGAGGCTTTTTTCGCAGCAGTCATAGGCGGGAACAGGACATATTCACATCTGCCCCACTTTATGACTTGCTCTTATAAACGACGGCTCCCCATCCCCCCGCCCCTTTCCGCTCGGCAGCATTTGTGGTTATCTACAAATCTGAAGACAAACCACCTCGAACCCGCATTACATTTAGCCTTGGTGGTAGGTCCGGAGGGACGTTACCAGCGTTATAACATCATTCAGGCGATAACTGCCTCAGTCCTTATCCCCCGCCTGCGCGTGGCCAGGAATGCTCACCTGTCGTCGTCGGCCGCCGCGCGGAGCCGGTCGGCGGCGCGGAGGTACTCGGCCAGTCGCGGTTCGGCCGCCTCGGCCAGCAGGCGGGCAGCGCCGCTGGCCGCCGCTGCGCATGGCCGCTGCTGGCCGGCCACCGCCGCCAGCGCCGACACCGCCTCCGCCGGCAACCAGGCGGCACCGCCGCCGGCCGCCAGCACCGTCGCCGCCAGGTGGCAGGCCGGGAGCTCGTCCGCGTCTGCCGGCCGGGCGCGACATCAGAGGAGCCAGCACCACCGCCGGCCCCGGCGGGCCGGGCAAGGCAGAACGGCGGCTGAGACCTGGTCTGGTCTGGTCTGGTCTGGTCTGGGCTAGTCTGGTGTGGACCTGGTCTCCGTCTGGACCACCGTGATACGCTTGAGGTGCGGCCAAAACGGAAATGCCCCTTGGTCTACGATTTCGGTCACCTGTGAAAAACTCTAAAAACTTGCATCCAAATCTACCACAAATCTTGCACGCATCCGCCATTACCCTCACCAAATCTGGTAGCACTTGCTACATTGTCCACTCCCGTCATGACACCAATGGACTACACAGCCAGTGCTCCTCTCGACCGACCTAAGTCCAACAGAGCATCACTATTTTCCGGAGAACCGCAACCTCATTGAATCAATAATTTTTACAGAGGGTGGGAAACCCTTCTGATGCATCATTTCAGTCACCAGCACATTCCTTAAGCTGTCTTTTTCAGAGGCTGCCATCGCTGGTTCGGGAGGGTGCTTTCTTCATGGAGCACGGCTGCTGGCGATTCGATGAGCCGTCTTTGTGAGCGAGAAGGGCGCACAAATCGAACTGCCTGGAGCGGCAATAGATCCGTCCGGTTTCCTTTCATCGATGATTTTACACACGCGCTACTCTTGCGTTAGCGACGTCCAAGGCCGTCTCAGCCTCGGCGGCCACTGACAGTCAGTGGTCACCCTCCTTTCCGTAGAGAGGACAAACGCAGCTCTTTTCTAATGACATCCTCCAAGAGGTAAACATTTTGACTGTGTCTTCTGCTAGTGGCAGACAGACATCACATGACTTTCTATCCTTTGAGCGGGTATATTTTGATGGCGCGCTGCTCTTCAAATGTGCGACTGTTTCCATTTAGTGCGGGCACTTGCGCTAGTTGCCTATATCAACAACCTTAGCGAGAGCACTCAGTTTTGAGCAGGACTTACACTAGGCATGTTTTAGACCCAAAACGTCAGAGGCTCCCAGTATCACCTGACATTTTGTGTTCGTAATATGCACATGCGGCTGCTCAATGGTGTAAGGCATATCATGGGTGAAGATTGCATTTGTAAAATGGAGATAAAGGCAGCAACATTTTTCTGGCATGCAGTGCCACAGGGCTGCAAATATTTTCATGGTTGGGGAGAATGAGGGGGGAGTAGCTAAGCCCCAACTTCCCCCATCCACCCCCAACCCATGCACATTTCCTCATGCACTACATGCATGTGTATGGCATAAACAGCCTCACACATATTCGTGCCATACCTGCATTGCATCAGTGTAATACACCAATTACAAACAGTCTACAGTGAAAACAACAGACGGATGGGAGCAGTCAGTTACCAATTTCTTCCTGGGAGTTGCTTTCGGTCTGCGTGGCTGCCGCCTCCCTGGGCGGAGCAGTCACTTCAAGCCTCCGAAAGTCGGCGCTGAAAACAATGGGATGGCATCAGCACCGCTTCTTTTACTCATTGTACTTCAAGCATTCAATGAAGTCCCCCTACAGCAAACCAAACGCATATCGCCTCAGTTTGGGATTCCTCATGCACCCCCCAAAATCGAAGTAATTATTTGCCTATTTGAGAGACATAAATTGTAATAAATTCTCATTTCAATTCGAATCATTCGCCCTGGCAGCTTGACAATGCGCCGCCACCGAGGGTAAACTTCTCAACGTCCAGGACAATTCACGGTGGGCCAGCGACCCCAGAGCCACCTGACGCTGGGGTTCGCCGTCCGGGCGGCGGCGCACCTGGTGATGAAGCCGCGCCGGTCCGGCGAGTCGCCGTTCAGACGCGCCAGCTTGCGGGGCGGACTGCCGGTCGCCGGTGATGTCAGCAGACGGCACTGCCGGCTCGCCTCCGAGAGCTCGTGACTCTGGTGACGTCATCAGCCGACGTCATGAGAGCCGACGCGCGCGCCAACACATCCGTATGAGGGGTGACATTTGATGTGGCGGAGGCCAGGCCATGCGTTTCGGACCTCAGCACTTGAAATGAGGCGGGGATAAAGAAGTGCTTGCCTCAAAAGCTGGGATGAAAGTATCACGGCCACATAAATGTCGACTACCATCGTGCCTTTGTCACGTTGCCACGAGTTCACTGGGAGGTATCTTTTGATATGGCGGTAGAAAAACACGCAGATTTCAAAACTAGTACAAAGATACAGCTAAAAAATTACCGAAATGGCCGATGGGCACAATGACCAAGAGTTCAACTATTCAAAACCAGCGCCCATCCGATGCAAACCACAACTGCTACGGCCACGGCATGACATGTGCCGACAGGGTCGTAAAGCACCCAAACCTTGAACTGCAGCTCCGTTTTCATAGCATCCATGTCGCGGTTGAGTGTTGCGGTGCTCTCCTGGAACAGGCGCTGCTGCTCCTGCAGCTTGCGCGAGCTCTCCAGCCGGAGCGTCTCCTGCTGTCGGGAGCGTTTGGCCAGCTCCTCGCGCAGCACCGACACCTGGCGGTGGGGCGGGCGCTCAGAGGCGGGCGCCGCACTGCTCTTGTGACGTCACCAGGGGCTTCACGAGCAAGGCACAATGCAACACACACATTTGTGGCATGTGGCCTGTCACTAACGTGCTGACGTGTATGGGCCTGTTGGTTTGGTTCCTTTTGGTTTTTGGATTAGAGCCCTTTCGACCAGACATGATCATTTCAGGGCTATGGGATGAAGGAAAATGGCTAACGATGGGACAGACGTGCATGCGCCTGGGGGGCCAACCGCCGAGCTTTACCCCGCGCATGCGCGGGTACCCGGCCGGGGCCCCCGTTCCCACGGGGCTCTCGGCCCACTCGTGGCTGACGCATGCAGCCTGCCCCGGACAAGAGGGGTGTCGCGAGGATCCAGGATGAAGCAAGATAGAGGATAAGAGGGATGGGTTGGTTGGTTTGGTTCCTTGGTGCATATGTCATTTATGGCGTAGTGCTGGATGCTAGTCTGCTGTGAGCCATGCAAGCTATAAAAACGAGACTCAAAGCACATACAGACTCGAGCTTACACAACTCATAAAACGTGAACAACGCCGGATTTTATCCGCATATGAAGCACGTGAAAACCGAAATTGAATAAAGGACTAGCTGAGGAACATTTCATCCAAATATGATGCCCACACATACCATAACAGAATAACCAGCCATTTAGATACCCACATGACCAATGCAGTTGGTGTACCCCAAACCCAGATCGTCCCCATCAAGGAACCATCAGGAGAGCCCGACTACTGACCTCGCCCTGCTGGGCGTAACGGTCTGCCTTGGCGGTCTCGACCTGCTTGCTGAGTGCAGTGTTCTCTTCCGTCAGCTTGCGCAGCTGAGCACGCAGCTGGTCCAGCTGGTCTGGCTGTGCGGCGTCGCCCACATCCAGGTCCATTTCCTCCCAGACGCTGACATCATCAGCCGGCGGCGGCTGCGGCGGCCGCGCGGCCGGCCGTTCCGTGTACACCTGCGACTCCAGCAGGATGGCCTCTTCGAGGGCCCCAGCAGGCAGCTCCTCCCCCCACACATCATCATCCATGTCGGCCAGTGGCGGGGGCGGCGGCGGCGGCGGTGGCGGCGGAGGCGGAGGCGTAGGTAGTGGTGGTGCGCTAGGCACGATAAACTGCAACGGGGGGCCACGGCCTGCTCTGCGGGCGGCCGGAGGTCCCCAGGCACTCATCTGAAAAAGGGTCACCAGAGCAGTCATGCGAGCCCAAGCAATGTGACGTGCCATGTCATCATCACAGAGGAGAGGACTTTAAGCTTGAATGCATGACAGAAAGGGTGTGGAGAATTTACAGGCAAACTTGAGTGAACAAGACAAATGTCCTATGTCCTCTGAGCAGGCATGCCACAGTGTTTCACTGTAGACATGAAGTGGCACTTAAAGTCAAGTGTTCAATGTCATGAGTTATATGGGCAGATGGGCTAGTAATGTGCTGTGAATCCATTTATTACTGTCCCCCACAATAACTCAGTGGTATGATGTTCAACTTCCTGGTTGCCCAGCCCCAACTTTACAAGTTAACTAGCATTCTAGCCTGAGCCAATCAAGCTTGAATGGTTATGGCAGGGACAGCTGGAACTATGACATTTGGTATATATACAAACTAACAGTGTCATACACAAATGTAACTCAATTTCACACATAGATGGACTCTTAAACTGAGTTTTGGTGTGCATACACCAGGCACCTTAAACATCCTATCAGAAAAGAAATATCCATGGCATTTAAAGCATACAGTGCTGAAGACAATCACAAAAAGAACTGTCTATGTATGGTGTTTAGAGCACACAATACTGAAGATGATTACAACACAGCTTGCTTGCTCCTTCTTTCCTTCACAACATAAAAACTACATACAATGCAAATGATTCTGGTTTTGTATGCTGGTGACATGGAGACTATGCATCAAAGATGCATCAAGCAGCCTTTCCCACTGTATGTGCAATGTTGATTTACTATTTCATTTATATATGGCATACAAGATAATGAAAATGGCACTTGGCTTAAACTGTGCTGCCACTTATTATGCTGAGTGACACCATGACATGGCTCTATCAACCCTGCCCTACACCTCTCATAAAATCAGTTTAAGATTAATATAACTATGCCTTCAATTCTGCATTAAGCCAGTCAGTCACTTGTATTAGGGGGATGAGTGTTCCACATTTGTATATAGGTTTGAATTGAAATAGTCATCTTGAAGATCATATCATTATCAAGATCATATCAAGATCATATCATATCATTTGCCACCTCTGTGGTCTTGGGGAAAGATGCTGGACTCGTAATCCAGCGGCACTGGGTACGAGTCCCAGAGTGGGCGCATTGTTTGACCCCACTGAAACGGAAAGGCCAACTGGCAACTGGCCAACGAGGCTCAACCCAGACCGGAGGTGGCCATGTCCCAGCATTGTGGGCACGTAAAACCCTCCTCCGCATTCCTGTCCGGTTGTGCGGCACATAAAACCCTCCGCATTCCTGTCCGGCGGAAGGGCGGAGGCAAAATTAGCTGTTGAACAGGACGGCATGCTTGGGTGGTGGGTTCAGGGTACACGCAACAAGCTAAGCTTAGCAGGTACTCTGAATCCGAAGTCACCCATACAAACCATTGGGGAAATTTTTTTAAAATCATATCATGCAGTTCACAGGCCTTCCCCTCTTAAGACCTATAGTCCCTTTAGTTCCTCAGCTACACATCTACAAAGATATGCAAGTTACTTCAGGAATTATTTCAATGTCACCCAGGCATCTATGGTGGCTTAATAATAGCATCATTGAAATCCTGCCATTACATTACCCATACAACAATCACAGTCAAAAAATATAACTAGAGTTGTTCATATCTGGCATTCAAGCTGGCCTTTGTGAGAACAAGTTCCAGATGTAACTGCTGTCAACTGGCTATCAATCAATGTTGAGCATGTTACATAATGGCATAATCAAATAATAACATATTGAGGAACATATTTACTCAACAGATAAATTGTGCTGTCTCTAGCAGTCTTTTCAACTTTAAAGAATACCAATATCTATAAAGGGCTTATTTCACTACATGATGCTTGTTTCCATATTTTCAAATGTGGAACATCCCTTTAAAGGCAATAAGCAATGTAAAAGGGATGAATTGACAAAAAAGTTGCACAACTTAAACTTAGCTGTAACATCTTTTTCAACATATCATTATGCTGTGTGGCACTGCAGATTTTGCAAAAACACAGCCAAAATACCAGGAATGGTCCCATATTCCCTTAGTGGACCTCTGCCCTGGGTAATGTATCACATCATAGCGGTTCAGGTGTTCAGCATGCACTTAATGTGATCCATTTATTGCATGCAACTGATCAATACAAGTGCATTTTCACACAAATATTTGAAGTTCACTAGAAATAATACATGAGCTAGGTGCAAGGTGCATACCGGAAATGCTTTTCATTATAATATTCGCACGACCCTGCCATGAGCTGTATCAAAATTTATATCTGGAAGATGTCAGCTAGCTCGATACTAAGCTTTACCTACCACAGTTTGAATTCGCGACCTGCTTTGGACCTGTCCCCCCCCAGTACAGTCAAACCCTGGAGCTATTCCCGTCGACCTCCGCGCGCACGTAGCTGATAGTATCTATCAGTGCAAGGCCCTGTATCAGTGTTTCGCTCCTATTACAAACTCCCCCGCGCAGTTTGGAACCATCCGCGCCACATTGCCTCAAGATCGTCCCAACCTAAAATGCTGCGTAAGAAACGTTCAAGTTGACAGCACACTCCAACACAATGGTGATATCACCTGTTCGATATTTTCACAAAGCCATTAAAATGCTTTTGAATCCAGACCCCAGCTACGCCCCGCTTAGTTTGGTAGACGAGCACGTAGTTTAATGACTCAACGTCCGTTTGGGCGTAAAATTACAGTCTATGAGGTGAATTGACACAGGTAAATTCATACAGCAGGATGCATTGCACAAGAGCTCAAAGCCAACCATAGTCAGTGTTGCTGAATTGTAATTCTTACAGGAGTGTGAGTGTCTGTATGCGAGCGCAGGCAAGAAGGACAGGTTAGGTTAGGACCGTTCCAAGCTCAGGTATAGATGGGGCTTCGGGCCCAGTCGACGCGCCGGACATTAACAGCATATGGTCCGGTGCCGTTCTGTTCGAAAACGAGATGAGATCTGGGCAGGACGACTGGGGTGTGGAGAGGACGGAGCGGTGTGGATCAGGATGTGGACAGGACGGGATGGACAGGATGATACAAGACAGGGCGTGGCAGGTCGGGAAAGTTCTGTCCTGTCTTGTCCGCATCGTTTCGCGCTGTCCTATCCCGACTGTCCCGGCAGCACCATGGGTGAAGGATACTCGGAAGTGTGGGCGGCAAAACCACGAAAATGGATTTTCTAATAAAACATGTCCAGAAAAGTTTAATTCCAGTGAAGAGTGGCGTGGACGCCGGCACGCTTGCTGGACGGGACGGGACAAGGTGATAGCACGGGACAGGAGTTAAGGACAATGCCCGTCCTGTCCTGACCCAAGTCCTGTCTTGTCCGCCTCACCTCGCCGTCTGTGCTCATGTGTTGATGCTCTGTGACGCGTTTGCTCACGGAAGAGGTCAGTGCCAAGCCGATGCAAGCCGACAACCGCTGTGCGAGTAACAAGGTTAAGACGCCATTTGTCTTTTGACCGTGCATATAAATCTCCATTCACGACGATCCGTTCGCGATCAGTTTTCCAGCCATGCGACGAAAACTATCCTGTTGAGAACGTGCGTTCGTTAGGGCGGGGTCGTCGAAAGGCATCAGTGCAGACGCTGCAACATGGGCGCTACCCATTCTGTAACAGCTACCCGTCACATGGCGCAGTGGTGCTACTGAAATGTACCACCGCTCGCAACAATGCTCACAGAGGGGTACTGGCATTGCCTGTAGTTTGAACCTGGTGCACACTTTTGCTTCGCCGTGCGGCACTACTCCCTTAATTATCCAGAAATTACACCTCGTAATCGTTCGTTTATTACCACTTGGTTATCTTCCTGGGTTCGTTGAAATTCCACTTTGTTCACAAATGATCAGACAAGCAGGAGCACGCTTCACTCAACCGTGCATTAAAAAAAGGAAGTTTGCATTTTGTGGCAACCCTGACCTTCCCTTGGTCAGTCAATGTACACGCAGACTCCATGCTTCACATAAGTTACAAACCATTGTTTTTCGCATACAACAGGGTGTTAAAACAGGCCTTGTACAAAAATAGATCGAAAAGATATGCTGCGATTCGCATTATGCATCGAGGTATAACAGCCATTACATTCCCGTGGCCCTAACAGTGGCTCGGTTGTGGACACAGGCAGCTAAAGGCATTCGTAAGATAATGCCTCACGTATCGCCGTCGATATCCCCGAGAGCCGCTGTTCCTTCCCCTCCTCCCCCCCCCCCGCGTCCCCTTGGAGGTTCGCAACTGGATCACGCCTGGCCATCCGCCTGTCCGCTCTGTTTCTCAAGCATGTCCACGTAGGCACAGTCGATCAGATCGGTCGGTTCCACCTCAAGCTGCTTCATGAGCGCCTCGGCCACGGCCTGGCCCTGCTCCAGCGTCTGATCCTCCCGCAGCTTCACCTCCAGCTCCATGAAGTCCCCCAGACCGGCCACACTGTCCACATGCACGCGCGTCTGGTCCACCATGAAGAGGAGGCGCGTCTTCTGCACATCCCCGCGCACGCCCAGCGCGCGACCGAGCGTATCGCGCAGCGCGGCCACGTCGTCACCCACAGCAGCGTAGCAGAAGTCGGACAGCTTCGGCCCGGCGGTGTCCGGCCGGTCGTAGAAGATGAGCTGGTTCGGCGCGCCCGTCTGCTCGCGCAGCTTCAGTCGGCCGCTGGCCGAGGAGAAGAAGGTGTCGCGCATGACCAGCTTGTGGCCGGCGGAGCCGCTCAGCTCGGCCGCCAGCTGCCGCAGGCGCGACGCGTCCCGCACGCGCGCCTTGATCTCCACGTTGCGCATGGTCCTTGCAGCAGACGGGACCCTACAAACAGCATGAGGTTAGCGGACGATGCCACTCACACCAACAAGAACGACAGTGGTGATCCGTTCGGCGCCTCCAGTTTCGATGCGTGTGCCCAGGTGGAGCGCCCCACGAAGGTGGTGCGCAAGCACGCACACCTGTGCCTGATGAAGGCTGGATGGCGACAACAGTTTGCACCTTTTGTTCATTTTGAGCTTCGACTATTGAGCATGAGGTTAACCCTCGCCCTGATAGGGGGGGGGGGGGGGGGGGGGCGATGCGACCTTCTCTACGGTTTTTGAAGATACCTCTCCGGCACATCGCGCAATCACACCCAAATTTTCAGTACCCTATCGCATGTCTTTTCACAGCAAAAATGTGTCCCTAGCTTTTCCGGTTTCAGAGTGGTGGCGGATTCCTTGGATCAATGTACGGCGATCTACGGCTTGGCGCGGCCAGTGGGCGGCAGCCAACGATGCCGCGGAACGTGCGCGGCGGGCCAACGTTGTTACATTAACGGAGCCATATACAGTAAACATATCCTCAAAGCATATATACATATACACCACCGCATTCACAGTTGAACAAGGAACACGCCCATTTTTGTTTCTTGTCGCCATGGGGCATGGTCTCGTCTGCCTTTTGAAAGAATTGACCACTGACCTGGCACAATGGAAACAATTATTAACCAAACAACGTAAAAACTAGCACCAATCACAAGATCTCTTTGAGGACAATCCGTTTTGTTTTCTTCTAAGTTTATCTTCATAATCTGGAAATGCCACGGGGGTCGCATCGGCCGGCGTATATATACGCGTTACACAAAAAGGCGAATCAGTGCGAGGGTTAACATCTGACCGGACTTACATGTGCAGCCTTTATCACCTCTCCCGATTAACGCTGCATCTGACTAAAGCAACATTCTGTCATCTAGCTCATAAGGTATGGAAATGGCCAGGACAAATCTGTACAAAACGAGTGGGCAAATAGCACAATCCGACGGTCTGGGGGAGGGGGGGGGGAAGCATGACTCCCCTCACACCCACCGCCGGATCGGAAAGTAAAGACGTCCTGCTATGATATGCTATTTTCCCCCGAACGGACCGGGACAGGGCACAGCGTTTAATGGACTGCACCGAACGAGACATTGGAAATGTCCTCGTCGCCCAGAACATAACAAAGTAGCAAGCAGCATGACCTCGACTCAAATATGGACCCCACCACCGGTCTGCTAAACAGCTGCCAATCACTGGCTCTGCCGAGACGCGCGTGAGCCATGCGTCCCGCTTACCGGCACCCACTACCACACGTTCAACCCGGCCTCTGATCCAGTGTGGTCCCCAACAACCAAACATCACAGGTCAACAGTCCAGCAGACATGTCATTATCCATCTGGCCATGTTTACAACATGACAAGCACACGCAGCTGTCGACCGACCCGTGGCATGTTGAGACAGTGCAACCTGTACCACACAGAACTGCGATCCATCGGATGAGGTGGCCTTCCAAGCCACCCAGAAACACAGGACCCAGCACGATGGTCTTACTCCTTGTCCTCATACTGTCATAGGATGGATGTGGCGCAGAGGCACACTCATCGTGCCATGACTGGGAAGCTTACTTCAGCAGGGCTCCAGAAAAAATCCCATTAACACATGTCCTCAGAAAAGCCAGCACCAGCAACGCTTCACTCATAAGCCCTGCAGCACTACCTGGGCTCTTACATGCTCTGCAGCCCATATCACCATCACAAAAGTACAATGACATTGGCTGTGCCATTTAGATTTTGAGCTTCACCTATCCTGACATGGGATCTCACATGCTGCACCTCATGAACAAGTCAATAGAATTACAAGACTGCAATGTGACATCCAAATTCAAATCAGAAAGAGACCTGGAGCTGAAAAATGATAGGGCAAAAAAACTTAAAAAAGATCCCAACATTACTGACTGCTTATTTTTAAAATACAGAATGCATCATGTCAAGCAACTGATGACACACACAGGAGGTGAGTAAGCTGAGGTCAGGAAGTGAGCTGGAGCTAAAAGATAATGGGCTAAAAACTGCTAAACAAGAGCCCATGTTGCCAATTACTTTTAAAAAAGAATGAAATATGCTCATGCAACTTATGATCTTTTCATTATAGACAGACATGAAAACGCACGCACGCACGCACGCACGCACGCACGCACGCACGCACGCATGCACACACACACACACACACACACACACACACACACACACACACACACATAGAGTTTCCAATATGTTATGCACTATGATCATATTAGCTGAATGACATACAAAACTTAATCACAGGTGACCCAAGACTGTTTGTTCCTGGGATGGCAGAACAGGCAGGAGATTCTTATATAATATCACTCAAGGGAGCAATAGGTGCTCTGGGAATTCAAGTATATGAATAGAAAATACCATTACATTTAAAAAAACATCAGCTAACAAGACTGTTTAGTAGAATTGGTGGACTCCAGCCAAAATAAGGAACATAGAAACTGAACACAGCAGTGAAAATATGCATTCAGTAGTGGAGCAGATATGCTACCACATAGGATTAAATAGTGAGTAGCGAGCACATACAGGATGGCAGCAACTCACATCAGTTTACCACTGCCAATGCATCTACTGAAACCATGTTACACATGAGGAGTGTTACACATGAAACCATGTTACACATGACTTTGAGGTTTGGGAGCTCCCAGCTATTGTCAACATGATGAAAATTTTTTTCTTTTTACCCTCACAAAATCATTGCAACACCAAAGCAGATGAATGACATAAATCAGAACCATCCAGCCAGGAAACTAAAATATGTATGGGGATGAGAGCCTGAGTGTTTATAATCAATGGTGTTGATATGTATTGGTAAGCAAGGATGGCAAGTGCTATGCTCCACAATATTGGTTAATCCTCCAATGTTAGCTCTGGCCCCTGGAAACATCTTAATTTCGCTTGCTATTAAAAAATGAAGCAAGAAGTCCCACAGATTTTATTATGCTCCATGGGAATCATTTGGTGACTATAGCCACTATGCTGCCAAAACGAGCGATCAATCAGCTGGTCAAACCAGCTGAGGAACACAAATTTAGGGGACAGTTGGGAAGTTGGGACAGTGGTTGGGCCCGCACCTCTCCCAAATAACTCACACAAATCGATGCCCCCTCCGAAAGCTTCGCACAACACCAGCCATACAACGTGCACCGTGCCGCAATAAAACGTCTGAAAACGTGGTTCAGATTTTGGCGGTCACGCGCCGTTTTTGGAATCTGCATTTCCCGCCTCAGAAAGAGCATGCCACTAATTTTTTTTCAGAAACGCAATGAATGAAACGAACTGTGCTTTGTAAGTGGCAAAGTCACTATTATAAACGCCGTAATCTGTTCCAGCTAGGTAACACAAACCAGGGGCTAGGAGCATAGTTTCCTTTTAATTTGGAGGGGCTACAGCTCCCCAACCTAGGGCTCAGAACTCAGGGGCGGACCCAGAGGGGTGGCCACGAATCGTGCCCCCTCTTGGGCCCCGCAGGGGTCCAAACACAAAACGCAACAAAATTGGACATTTTTGGAATTCCAGGCCACCAAAGATAGTTGAAAGCAAAAGTGAAGGACCAATGAGAATAGAGAACACAATTTTTTAATGATTGAACAAGTTAGTAATTTAGCATTTTAAGCCTTATTACGCTGTCCAGGGGCCCCATGCCGTTTCCAGGGGACCTATATGCTCACTTGCAGGGCCATTCCGATCGTTAAAGAGCCTTCCACGTTGCCCTTGACTTCTTTGCGTTTGCCCAGAGGGCCCTGCACTGTTGCTGTGTCCTTCTTGCTAGCGTGCCGGGGTGCTCTGTCATTCAGGGGCCTTCCACATATTTTTTTAATTCGCCAGAAATGCTCTGTGGGCTATAGCCAGAGCCCCATATACCAACCTGCCGGGTATTCTCGGTTGTTCGAGGGCCCTCTTTCGTTGGTCTCGGTTCACCTACCGACAAGCTCGCGGTATGCTCATGGGCCCCCTGCGTTGGTATGGGGCGCTTACAATTATACGTCAGTTACTTAGTGCCCTACGCTCTTGTCGGGGCCAATCTATTGACCTGATTATGCACACTCGGTCGGTCGGGGCCCTCCGCGTCGAGTGTTGGGTATTTTCTATTTGAATGGCGGGCCCTGCACACTTGTTGGGTCCCATCTGTTAACCTGCTCCGGCACACTGGATTGTTTGGGGGCCCTGCACATTGGGTATTTTATTGCAGAGCCCTGCGCTCTTCTCGGGGTCATTGATAGCATGCTCGGATACACTCGATCTTTTGGGGGCCCTTCACACGAGGTCTTAGGTGCATTTTATTTGACTGTTCGTCGCTTTTGTGGGAGGCCCCTGATCTGATAGGCTGCTCGAGCACCTTCGGTCGTTGGGGCCCTCTACATTTGGTGTTGGGTACGTCCTATTTGAATGAGACCCTACGCACTTGTTGGGGCCCCCTCTGTTTACCTTTTCGGTTAAACTGGATTGCTCGGGGGCCCTGTGCATTGGATCTTGGCGTTTGAGTTTAGGGCCCTGCGTTCCTATCGGGGCCATTTGATGACCTACCCAAGTACACGCCATCTTTCGAGGGCTCTGCGCGATGGTTTTTGGGCACTTCTTCTTTCAATGGAAGACTCTACGCTCTTGTCGCGGCCCCTTCTGATAAGATGCTCGGGCACAATCGATTGTTGGAGTACCTCTACGTCGGGTCTTGGGTACTTTTTATTTGAATGGAGGGCCCTGCGTTCTTGACGGCGGCCCCATCTGCTAACAAGCTCTGGCGCAATCGATCATTCGGGGCCCTCTACATCGTGTCGTGGATATTTCATATTTGAACAGAAGGCGTTACGTTCTTGTCCGCAGCCCCATCTGTTAACCCGCTCGGGCACACTCCATTGCTCGAGGGCTCTCCACATTATATCTTGGGGACTTCCTACGTAACTGGATGGCCCTATGCCCTTGTCGGTAGCCCCATGTGTTCACCTCCTTTGAATTTAAGTCCCTGTACTCCCGTTGGGGACCGTCTGACAATCTGCTCGGGTCCACTCCATCTTTCGGGGGCCCTCTGCACAGAGGTTGGGTACTTCTTATTTAAATGGGGGGCCTTGCGCTCTCGTCTGGCCTTTTCTGATCAGGTACTGGGGTGCATTCCATCGTTCGGGGGCCATTTCCATTAGGTCCTGAGTGCTTCCTATTTCAGTGGAGGGCCCTACGCTCTTGTTAGGAGTCCTATCTGTTAACCTGCTCGGACACAGTCGATTATTCGGGGACCCTCTACATCGGGTCTTGGGAACTTCCTATTTGAATGGAGGTCCCCAAGCTCTTGACGGGAACCCCATGTAATAACATGCTCGGGAACTGGTCCCGCGCTCCTGTCGAGGCACCCATCTGTTGCCTGCTCGGACACACTCGACTATTCCGAGGCTCTCCGATGGATGACCCTATGTTCTTTGCGGACCCCATATATCAAGCTGCTCGGGCCGGTGGTGGATGCAGACGGGGAGGGGGAGGCACGGGACCATGCCCCCCATGAACCATGCCGAGGGGACCTATAGGCTCAAAAGGGGCCCACAACCGGCCGAGCGGACGCAGTTTTCTAACAAAACATTACACACAGCACAGTTTGACGTCTGTGGGCCTACCAACGGCCAAAAACGGTTGGTGGCAAAAGTAAAGAGTTCATAAGCAGATCGACTTAATTCTTTGCTGCTTGAGAAGTTGCTACCGGGGGAAATCTTGGGGTTTATTACGTCGTCCACAGGCCTAACGCTGTTGCCCGGGCCCTATATGTCCATTTGCCGGAACAATCTGGTCGCTAATGAGTTTTCCACGTTGCCCTTGATCTCTTTGCATTTTCTCGTAGGACCCATTGCTGCTGTTGGGATGCTATCTGCTTCCATGCCTGAGCACCCTTGATCGATCAGATTTTCCTCCGCGGATTTTTCCCTCTCTCTAGAAAGGCTCTGTACGCTTTTTCCGGAGCCTCATATGCCAGGGTACACCCAGTTGTTCAAGGGTCAATCATATTAGTATCGGGTTCTTTCCACCTGCTCGGAGGACCTCGTGTTGTTGTTGGAGCTTGCATATGGTAAGGCAACGAGACATTCGATGCTCAGGGGCCCTCCACTTTGATTTAGGGCTTTTTCCCTTTGACCTCATTTTTGGAGGACTCTTCACTCCTGTCAAGGTTTTTGTTGTTAAGCTACCCGGCTGCTCTTGATCGCAGGGGGGTATTAATTCATGGCCTTCGATAATTCCCCTTTGCTCTGAGGGTCCTGTGCTCTGGCCGGGGCCTTATATGTCAGCCTGCCGGGACACTACCGGTCGTTTAGGGGCACACCACGTTGGTCTTGGATTATTTTGCTTGCTCTGAGGACCCTATACTTGTTAACATGACCCTGTTTGTTCGCCTCCTGCGGCACTCATGATCGCTCAGGTTTCGTTCCTTTTGGCATTGGTGCCTTAGCCTAAGAGCAGCAGTCGGATATGTGCCGATGAATTTTTACGCGCAACTGTCGAACGTACTTTTGCGTGCCGCCGACGTCGTATGAGTCATTTCCCTTGGCTGTTGAGTGTGTGACCTATCATACTTGTGCACGACGTTCTTAACATACCTTGACTGTTAGGATATTGTGCACTCCTTTGTAACAAACGAAAAAATTCTGCATTAGTCATCAGTCATCAGATGATTATGTCGCCCAGTCGGCTATTCGTAAATAAGCTAGTAATGAAGTTCGTCCTTGGTTTTAATGGTATTTAGCAGCCAAGTTGGGTTCATTTTGCCTGTTTTTCCGAAACAGTTGGCTTCAAAATCACAGGATTTAACCTAATCTGTAGAAAATGAGTGAGCTTCATGTATGTGCATACATAGCACGCCTAGTTTTATAGGGCTGCGCACAGTCAGATGGGCTCATGTTTTATGAAACATATATGTATACATATATGTATATATGTGCACATATATACACACACACACATACATATATATATATATATATATATATATATATATATATATATATGTAGGTGTTTATGCTATTCGTCTACAAATTGAATGGCCAAAATGCAAGGATGTTTTTAGAGGGCTCCAAAATCTAGGGGGCCCCACAGTGTTTCGTGGAACCCCCCTGACAAAATCCTGGATTCGAACAGAACTCTGACAGTAACAAATTGCCCCCTCTGGATGCTCAGCAGGCCACATTACGAAACACTCGGTGGCCCACAGACTGCAGGCCCTTCCCGGTCACCAGGAGTACCGTTAGTTTAAGGGCTTTCATACCTTCTGAGCACCATCTGGACTTTCAAAATCCCACCAGGACACCAAGTGCCCTCGGGTTACCCAGAGGTCTGGCCGATCAGGGACACTTTGACCGCTCGGGCTCTATATACCAAGGGCATATCGGGCCAGTCATGGGTCGTTATCCTGAGGGTCCCACTGAGGGTCCCTCTAGCTATTTAGGGGTCCGCGTCTGATGGCATTTCCTTCTCGCCGACTGTTTAGGCCCTCCTTTGATTTTCACGGTCCTTCGGGTCATGGAAGTGCTCTTCTGGGTATTCATGGGGCCCACTGGCCGCCCAGAGGCCGCCTAACGACCCAAAGACCTGCCGGCTGCTCGTGGGCCCATGGACGCAGGCGGGATGACACACGGCAAACGTGCCCCCCAAGGTCTCCGGAGGTCGACTGTAGCCCCATCTGAGGGCGCGCACGGCCCCAAGGGTTGGCTGGAGGTCGAATTAAGAGGTGACTTAAATGACCACTTGCCAACATAGGCTTACACGCTGGCTCAACCATAACTGTTAGTTCGTTGAACAACAACTTTATTCCTGCTGCCAGAGTGGAACGACGTATTTGCACATCGCGTTTTTATGCATACATATTTAGTTACATATGCACATATCAGCGGGAAATTCGCTTCACTCGCACTTTAACCACGCCCTTATTGTTTGTGTTGCTTCTTTTATGGGCTTTGTCGACAAACCGCTATGATGGTTACCTTGCAAATATACTTACGCAATGGCGATGGATCTCACCATAGACATTGTTCAATGTTCATTGCGCTTTGATTTTTGACTTTCCGTCTGAAGCGTTCTGTGGTGCTCTATGCGGGTCCAAGGGGGACGACCCCCTCCCCATTGAAGTGATCATATGTTTTTTTACTGTAAGACAATCCACCAGAGGCCCTCTGCATACAAAAAGTATCTAGACAAGCCTTTTACAGACATCAATGTGCTTCTTTTAATTGTAAGTCGAGCTTTTTTACTAATACAGGAGCCGGAAGGCTCCATAAGATGGGCTTCTGCATATTCCCGCATCAGCTAAAGTTGTTATTCATCAAGTTCATTTGCCTTTTATCATAATGAAGCATGAGGTAAATGCAATCAAACCGATGAATTTAATGACTGCATCGACTGCGGGGTTATTCGCTTTAGTTTTACGAGGGTTGTTTCAGACCTTTCCATGAAATGGTGGCTGTCAGGGACGTTGTCGAATTTCCTCGTTTTTAGGATATAAAGAGGCCCGTTGGCTGAACGGCAGCGTAAATCGGAACATGGCAAAAGATACGTTATAAGCTGCAAATTTGCTAACTGAGGCCTTTAAACTTCGGGTCTCTCGGAACCTATGGGGAAGGGGACACGTGCCCCCTGTGCCGCTCTCCCTGATCTGCCCCTGTGCCGCCCTCCCTGCCTGCGCCACTGTATGACCACATTCGCCAGAACACTTACGGTCGCATGCGGTGGAACATCAGCCATGTTAGTGTTATTACGTGGAAGCCATCTCCTGATCTAAGGAGCATTAAGCCCACGTACTGATTATTGAGCAGGCTACACTCGCGTGCGCTGAGGAAAAAAAGAAATCGGCAGCATCTTTATGACGTTGTACCGAAGGCCTATTACCAGGTGAGCACCACTCTACCACGGCAGCCCTTTGACTACGAGGGCAGCGTCCCCCTTTGTTCGATCTGATGAGCCTCCTTCGGAGCCAGCTCCGTCCATTTCCTGTTATTTGGGCGGGCACTGGCGGACTCCCAGCGCCTCTCCCTGAGACGAGAGGTGGTCCGGTCCGGGCTCGGCGGGGTCCGGATAATGGCGCCCCGGCGTGCCGGTCTGGGCCGGCCGTCCCGCAGCCGCCAGCGGACGGGGGCTAACTGAGACACCTGGCGTCGGCCGGCACCCGGCGACGGCAGCAGGACCACCCAGCCCGCCTGCCGTCCACTCATCAAGTCCAACAAAGGGATAGCGTGCTGACGGGCGTACCTTTCGGTTCACGAGGGCCTCTAACTATGGTGTCGATTTCTGTTTGGTAGAGTTACGGCTGTAGCGGGCGAAGAAGCCTGACTTACGATAATTAGAGCCATGTGGAGGACAGCAATATCTGCGAGTGCAATTGAGCTGTACGCAATCGATTGATCTAAGTCTAACCTGTTCAGCCCCCGTGGCTCTCGCTGGCGGCCACCGTCAGATTGGCTGCACGCTGCGGCTGGAAACAAGGTAAAGCGACTGGTTGCGTGTGCCCTCTTGCGGGGCCAGTAGAAACACGACATTGGCTGTTCGATGTGTTAGTGCCAAAATCGGTTGGGGGAAAGTCAGAACTCAGAACTGATTAGCCTGGTAAAGGCCTTTGCCATTGCAGAAAATTGAAATATTGTCTTCAAAAACCTGATCCATGAATTGTGACTGCTCCCTTACTTTCCTATTTGTGGGTTATGTCTGAGGTAGGGAGCAGCGAATGGAAAATAGTCCTGGTATATCGCATATGTTTGTCCAATTTCTTTCCTGTGTTGTTTGCATTTCTTGGAGATTTGGGATGGGCACCATGTGTGGTTGAGAAGGCTCAAATTCCGAGAAGAGCTCAACTGCTGGTAGGGATGGAGACTCAGTTGAAAGGTCATAAGTTCAGTTGGGGGGCAAGGGGTTGCGGGGGTTCCAGTCCTTCGACTGAACACGATCGCGCCATCCCTGATAGCTACTTAATTGGGCAAGGAAAATGGGAGAGGACATGAAAGAAGACGGCGCCCCTCCCACCCAACAACTTCCGTAAAGGTCGTTCATCAACCCCATGGCGAGGATGGGAGAGAGCTTTTTTGAAAACCAGCTTTGCCCTGCACTCTTCTAGCGGTTTTATCTCAATGGTCTCTTGCCATATTCTTCGTGAATGACGCCTGGAAAGACATCATTTCCCGCCTTCGCTCACTGCGATGAGCCGCAGCAAATCCTATCCCATAATTCTAACTTCTCTTGTATATTTGATGTCCTCTCGTCACTCTCGGACAACTGCTTCCCCTGCGGCCCCACCGATCACGCCGTGTATTTTTAAAGCTCCATCTACCCCATTGTCGCCTCTCCCGCTCCTCTGCGCGGCGGCCGCGGCAGCCTGCCTGTGTTAAACCCCGGCCAGCGGACTGTTATCGGCAAAACGTCGCAAGTTGGTCGGCTGTTATTTTCGCGACCGGAGAACCGCTACTGCTAGTGCAGCTTCACCTCACCAGCTCTTCGAACCAAACGTTCGGCCACCACTTCACAAACAGGTGGCAGTGTGTAGTTCTGGAGCGTTGCATGGTGAGCCGTGGTCGGAGAGACAGCCGCTGCGCTGGCAGGCAGCCGCTGGCGACGGCGTCGGCTGGCGGGGACGCCGCGGCCGCCAGGGTAGCCGCCTGGACGGGCCGCTCCGCCAGTCCGCCAGTAGCCGGAGCGGCCGTCCAGGCGCCGCGTTTGTGAGGTGTGAGCAGCGCGGACGGGGTGCAGCCACCAGCGGCAGGCTGGCCATGCCGAGCTCCCTGGCGCTGGACGCGCCCTGGCGGGTCTACTCGTCGCCGTATGACCATCTGCGGCCATCGCAGCCCCAGGAAAAAGGTCAGCCCGCCGCCCACCCCGGATCGCGGCTCGTGTGAGCAGCCAGCGGCCGTCACGGGCAAACGGAGCTGTCGGACTTTTAACGGCAGGGATTCAAGGGATTCAGTGAGTTGTAACAACGCCATTTTTTAAAGTGAGCCTGCGTACCAACTTACTTGCCAAAACTTCAAATGTGATGTAAGAATCTTGTCCTGGGCCCACTGTGGCCCTGAACCTGTGGGACAAGCCTTTTGTCCGGCGTGGGCGTCCCCTCCCGTCTTTATTGTTCTGTCGTATCCTAAAAGCTGCATGGTAACAGGTGCACAGATGTCCAAAATGCTGAGTTGTCAGAGCCGGAGGAAGGGATTCACAACCTTTGCCGGTGGTTATTCATGTTGGGTCGTGAACTCGACAGGTTTTGATTCAGATTGGAGTCTGGCTTGATCGATTGGATGCTGATGCATATGGCGGAATCTGCTATCTGTCGAAGCGCTCGACCAAAAATGACGCAGCGCAGCGGCGGTCGCACGGCAAGGGCTGCATATAAAAGCCTTTGTTACTGTCGGAAGCCCACAAGGTTGTGGCGAAGTCGACGGCTACGAAACGGACTCACGTCCAGTGAACGTTTGAAGGCGGGTTCGACGATCTGGCTTGGGACGGGTGCTGTAGTGTATTCTGGCATCTGGCCTGCGGCGCAGGGCGGACTCCCGGGAGCTTGGGACGGGTGCTGTAGTGTACTCTGGCATCTGACCTGCGGCGCAGGGCGGACTCCCGGCAGCTCAGAGAGCTCAAGATCTGGCTTGGGACGGGTGCTGTAGTGTACTCTGGCATCTGACCTGCGGCGCAGGGCGGACTCCCGGCAGCTCAGAGAGCTCAAGATCTGGTTTTGGACGGGTGCTGTAGTGTACTCTGGCATCTGACCTGCGGCGCAGGGCGGACTCCCGGCAGCTCAGAGAGCTCAAGATCTGGTTTTGGACGGGTGCTGTAGTGTACTCTGGCATCTGATCTGCGGCGCAGGGCGGACTCCCGGGAGCTCGGAGAGCCCAAGCTCCGGCTGAGCAGGATTTTACCATGGCGTGAGGCAACGAAGTGCTTATATTTCACGCCTGCTGCTGAGGCGCGTGTACAAAATGTTTGCAGCGCGTCATTCTCATATCGCAACAACAATGATCGGATAGCATAGGACGGCTTCATGCGTGGTGGGGGATGGCCGCTGCTGCGGGTTTGCTGCACATGAGCGCACGGGCTCGGGGCCTAGTTGTGACCCGACTGATGACGTCACAAGCTAGCGGGATCAGCCCGTCAGCAGGCAGTGGTGATGATGCCGGTTTGGAGAACATGCCTTCCTCCTCGGACCAGGACAGGACACCAAGGCGCCCAAGCTGAACCGGTGGCCACACTGCATGTGCTATCAGCCCACTCCATACCACGCTGCCCACGTGCGTGCCTTGCGCATACTCCCCCTTCACTCCAGCGCGCACCTCTGGCCGCCGGCGATCGGTCGGTGGCTGAGGCGCCCGCCGCCGGGGATACCTTCCTATGCAGCGTTACGCTCGTTCCGCGGCGGCGGCCGGCGGGATGGCGCCGCCGTCTCGAGCGCCAGTCTGGCCTGCGCCGGCTGCTGCGCGCCCGGAGGTCTCCCCCAGCCCGGCGCGGGCCCGCGCGATTTATGATTATTGGCGGCGGCGGCTGCTGCAGAGTTTGCAGGCAGACGGGCGCTCCGCTGCCCTGCTGCTGCGGAGAGACACGACATGACTCCGTCCGGCCACCGCAGCAGCCCGCGGCCGCCCTACCCGCTGGCTGCTCCGCACGCTGACCCGGTAAAAACCAATAAAAATTGGCATGGGCACCTGCTGAAATTAGCTTAAACAGGATGACACCATCTAATTAATCACTGGGTGAGAGTTGGGTTTCTCCTTAGGCGAGCAGCCTCCGAATCATTTTTTAAGAATATTCGGATGCAGAATATGTAATATTGTGCACGCATGCGAGGTAAAAGTTTGCAGTCGTTTGAAGTCTGTTGTTGAGTTGCGACTTATGAGGTCTTTATCAGGGACATGTCAGCACCGTTTGGCGCTCAGGAGTTAAAGGACGGCTCGGTAAAATGTGAATTTTAAGCTTTTCTGCATCCATGTGCTAATTCTGTAATAATACCGGATGGTCCCAAAAACCTAACCTTGGAGACTAACTGGAATATTTTGTCCCCTGCTCCTCCCCACCCCCTGTGGCGTAGTCCATAGGCCACGAGCTCAAGAGATTTTAGGGAAGAGGTGTGGTTCGACCAGTGCTTTGGTATTTGGATCTACAGATCCTCGGACCCGAGGCCGCCGGATTTCTGTATGTGGTTATCTATGGAGGGAGTCGAGTGTCAAGAAATGAAATACCCTCCCTGAGCTTAAGAAAGCAGTGACGGAATGTGTGAGGACGACCTCGGGGAGCTATGCTAGCGTATCCCCAAAAATTGCACATGTGAAACACACATGATTGTACAAAATAACGGAAGACATTCCGAGATTGTGTCTCAAATGATCTGATGATGATAAGGCTGCAGCAATCAGATGTGAGGTGCAGTTGTGTAATACAGTGCTGCAAACAATCCCTTCCCTAATCTTGGACGTTAAGGTTAGCTTTGCCGTATTGGGGTCAGATCTTGACAATGCCAGGAGCATCCCAAATGCATGTTTACACCCCACAATGACATTTGGAACATGTGCTGAGTTGAATGATATGCCTAAATTATTAGGCCACGATGCTGACATTCCGACCCGGAATGTCAGCATCGTGGTTTGGTCGTTTGGTCGTGGAATAAATGTGGTTTGTTTTTGTGGACTACACAGTGCATGATGATGTAAAAACTGCATAAGGCAATGACAATACCAGCTCGACGACGCTCGTACCAGGTAAAACGCGTAAAATGCAGATGTGCTTAGGAGCCACTAATGCTTGGCATTTAGTGTTCTCATCACGTAGTGTCCTCAATTTCCTGAATGACTATTATGTAAGCCCGGTCATTTTTGCCTCCTTTGACCCGATTTCTCATTCTAAAAGTATGATATGCTTAGAACCATTCATCGTTGTGAGATGTAGGGGTTTTGACACGCAATCTGATGAATGCTAACCACGGACATTTTCGTTGGAATGCGGCACTTGGATCCGGAGGTGCCGAGCTAAGGGGCTGAGAAGCCAGGTTGGACATTTGTGACTTGCTTTAAGCTTAGGCATCACACATTAAATGCAAATATGTACACATCATGCAGCTTTGTCAGGGTCAGCAGCAACGAGAGTCACTGGTGAACTCGACACACATTTGGTGCAGTTTGTCTGGGTCGCAGCAACGGGGTTCATTGGTGAACTCGACACACATTTGGTGCAGTTTTTCAGGGTCGCAGCAACGGGGTTCATTGGTGAACTCGACACACATTTGGTGCAGTTTGACAGGGTCGCGGCAACGCGAGTCACTGGTGAACTCGACAACATTTTTGTTGCGGTTTGCTCAAGGGTGTAGAAAACCGGGCTGAAATGGGGAACGGTCGCCCTCAGCTGAACAAGGATGGGGAACGGTCGCCCTCGGCTGAACAAGGATGGGGAACGGTCTCCCTCAGCTGGACAAGGATGGGGAACGGTCGCCCCCAGCTGAACAAGGAGCTGAACAAGGATGGGGAACGGTCTCCCTCAGCTGAACAAGGATGGGGAACGGTCGCCCTCGGCTGAACAAGGATGGGGAACGGTCTCCCTCAGCTGGACAAGGATGGGGAACGGTCGCCCCCAGCTGAACAAGGATGGGGAACGGTCGCCCTCAGCTGAACAAGGATGGGGAACGGTCGCCCCCAGCTGAACAAGGATGGGGAACGGTCGCCTACAGCTGAAGGCAATTTAGCGTTAACCATATGGTGTTTCGTGGTCACAAATGTGTTAAAAAAGAATCACACGCCTCGCATCATTTTTAGGATTTTCCCGTGCCTCTGACCTTTTTGGTAGCTCTTTAGCGGCGTTTTTTACACTGTGATACCAAGGCTAATTCGCGAGATAGCCGGATGACACCGAAACACATTGCACCACACTAATCGTGACCTATATGATCCGATTTAGAACGTCATAGGTCACGTCCATGAGGTGCAACTGTCACTATACGCCAGCACTATATGGAGTGTGCTAAGACCTATCCGACATCTTTTTGTCGGTTTTGCAGGACGCCATCAGGTCCTCGCATGTGTCGTTGGGAGACAAGGACAGATAAAGGCAGTACACTTAGTATTTGGATCGCTATGATCTGATCTGACCCCCGTGGTTGTCACTGTGCGCTGGTGCTCAATGACAGCTACCCGATGTAGCTTTGAAACGGAGCTATTGACTGCCGCTTCCGCGCGCTTGGTTTTGTAGATGGCGAGGAAGATTGCACGAGATATGTCTGTCATCAATCATGCGGTGCAAATCGCCAGTAATGCTCTCAAGCGTGGAAAGCCCTGGTTTTTAGCATGCACATATATGTCTTCATCCATGCTTTCGGTTGACGAGGCGCTATTTTTGGTCACTTTGTGACGCTCACGGTACCACGTTGTAAGCTGGGCACGAACAGCGTTGCTTTTTTGCTTTGTCTGTTTGCCCGGCTTGTAACGGGACAGTTGAACACGACATGACTGGTTCGACTTTCACTATCGCCCATCGCAGGTGTGGGTAACACAGCTGGGACGCAGGTACGCAACAGATAAACATGCGACGTGCAGTGGTCTGACGCATACACGTGTTGCAAGCGTGTTCACTTCACGTCCGACACCCGCGCTGTGCCCCAGCCTTGACCCAGTGACCCCGCCCGCCTGCAGTGAACGTGGTGGAGGCGCTGCAGGAGTTCTGGCAGATGAAGCAAGCTCGCGGCGCTGAGCTCAGGAACGGCGCCCTCGTCATCTACGAGTCCGTGCCGGCCAACTGTCCACCATACGTCTGCTATGTCACGCTCCCAGGCGGCAGCTGCTTCGGCAGCTTCCAGGTAGGTCTCTGCCTTTGATCGGGCGTGGGCTTGTGAGGGCGATGAAACCATTGGGTGCGTTCTCTTAGAATCGACCAGAGGCTAACGCTCTGCCCTGTTGCGTTGGGCTCCGCGGTCAAACTGAAGATCCGCTGATGCCAACGAGGCCTTTGATACCTTGCTCTCCACCAGAGTGCTGACCTTGCAGGTGATTGACTCGACCCAGGGTGGAAAGCGACTAAGAATCGAACAGTCTTCGGAGGACATTAATCTGAACCGATGTAGCTGGGGTGAGCTCATTTTGAGTCACGAACTGAAACACCAATTTGCAGCGATTGAGTGGAGATGCGACTTATTCATTTGTAATATTTTGTTGACAACGAACACGTGACTGACGTAGTAATCCAGGCAGGAATGTTCAAATGACGAGTGTTAGGCTTAAAAATTAGTGTACCGGATAGTAACATAACAATCAAACGCCTTGCGAGGCGTAGGATGAACGAAATGACAGGAGCCATTACGTTTATAAACTGTCATCTATGGCAGGTATTTTGCGCCGTGTGAAGAGCGAGGTGATGATATGCGTGAATCGTTCTTATTGTGTTTACTTAGTCAAAGCACGTTTGGTAGTGAGGAGTCTGCTCACAAATTTGCATTCGTGGACGCATTTTCAAATGGCCTTGCCGGAAAATTGTCTGACCTTGGGCACGTCAAGTTATGGCCACTGAAATAGATGAGATCGACAAATTCGGAAAGGCTTACGTTCTCGGTGATTGACTATTGGGAAGAAGGCAAACGTTTTTTTTTTAGAAATTTGATCCGAACACATTGAATGAATGGATTTTGGGATCAGCGCTCACGCTATGCAGGCGCTTGCTGTGTGAGCCCTGACCCCTACCATCCGATCACGCAATTCCAGGCAACGGCAGAATTTGGTGGCGAAAGCTTAACGCGCCGCAATGGTCGACACGGTCCGTCCTGCCCCCTGACGTCAACTGACCTTTAGCGCGACCGCTGCCACCGGTCGCAGGCCATACTTTCAAGAGAAAATAGCTAATAGATAAATGGATAAATAGATCGTTTCAGAAAGATTTCGTGACAAGAAATGTAGCTCTACGAAATCTCCATGGTCGGATACCCCTCGGCTTAGCCCAATGCATTTAACATTCGAGACCGGTTTCGTTACAAATGGCATGGGTCACTCCTCGATGCACTCTTGACGCACCCTTGGATGCACCAGAAAGGTCAGGTTCGCCGACCCACGCTATGGCTTTGGCGGTGCTGCGATCACGTAATTGTTTGTAGATGGCGCATTCGCCTCCGCAACAGAGTTGGCTTTCATAAACCAGTTTTAAAAATTTTGATCTGCTCTGGATGCCAAGTCTGATACCAACCCTTCAGTGCGCCCAAAACGGATGGACCCGCGCTTTGTGTCCATCAGCCCACGCTTGGTAAATACGATCGTTCATTATCGCACAGGTCAAAATGTGTTTGTCTCGCGTCACTGCTACCTGGTGTTTATAAAGTTGTATTGTCAAGACACATACGCCCTCAGCCAGCGTTCAAATATGGAGCTCCTCATGTATGTAAAGCAGCACAACCTTAAAGAATTGTGGCGCTCGCTGCTGACACCGGTAGGCCAGTACGACTGGTGATTGTAAATAATTGAAAACGCCTAAGACGTGGCTAGTCGGGCCGTCCTACCTGTATTGCACAATTTTCGGTTAGTCATAGTTAAGACCGGTTCGGCCGGCGACGTCGTGCGTGATATAATGAAGATTTCAAAGGGCTTAGCACGTGCACAAATTGCGGTTAAAAGCAGCAGACGTGTGGTGTCTGCATTTCGAGTGATCCGTACCTTTCACGTCACTCACCCAGGGAGTATATGTTTAGAGAGGAATGAATTATTTATCATTGCGTTGATTCTTGTTTTTCCCATTTGTAGGTTAGTTGTTTGCCTTAGGTCCTACGATGAAGTGCGGTTAGATCCGTGTTAGGGTTTGTAGTTCATCATTTTATACAAATGTTGTTGCATACACACACAACATATTCAGACCAATACCCAAGCATGTTGATATGAAAAGCAATGTTTTGCGAACTGCGAGTCGGAGTTAAGGCGACTCAGGACTTAGTGGGCGCTCTTCTCATCAGTCAGGTTAGATTTCAAAGTCTGTGGTTCAGTCTTAAGTTGACTCATTGTTCTAGTCGAACACAGGTCAGATGTCGACAAACATTCAATTAAACTTAACAATGTAGCCTTTGTTTTCGGGCAGATTGAACGGCTTACCCACAGCGGAGGGAGGCTGGGACGACCGGGGGTAGCCGGCAGCGGCCCCTGGTCGGCGGCATGGGAGGGTAGCAGTAGTCGGGCTGGACTGGTCGGCGGCATGGGAGGGCAGAAGCGGTCGGGTCAGCCTGGTCAGCGGGATGGGAGGGCAGAAGCGGCCGGTCGACGTCATTCCATGGCGCCCGCGCCCGTCTCCGCGCGGTGCGTCCTCCGTAATCAATGGATTGTTTTTGTAACTGCGGCGGGCGGGGGGACTCCTGCTGCGCCGGCTGAATGGCCGCCCGCCGGTGGAGCAGAGAGCAGGCGCTCTCGGTGGACCGGTACACAGAGGTGCCGCGGCAGGCGCTCTCGGTGGAACGGTACACAGAGGTGCCGCGTCAGGCGCTCTCGGTGGAACGGTACACAGAGGCGCCGCGTCAGGCGCTCTCGGTGGAACGGTACACAGAGGCGCCGCGTCAGGCGCATTCTCGATGGAACGGTACAACGATGGGCCACTTCAAAAGGCGTTTTCGTGGGGGGGGGGGGATGGGGAGACGATACACAGAGGTGACTCCAGGTGCACTCGCAGGTACTCTCAGGTGCACCCTCTGAATGACCTTGTACAGGACAGTCCCTTGAGAGCCATTCTCAGGTGGACAACACACCGAGGAAGGAAGCTTTTAGAGACACTCAGTGGGCCGGTACACAGAGGAGCCAGGTCAGACGCTCCCATAAAGTGGGGCGTATAGGGGCCTCCCCCGTCCCTAATGCACACGCCATTTTCAGAGAACATTGTTAGACAGAGACCTTATTCGGTACCAAATCTAAAATGTTCAAAAAATCGGATAAGCAAAAACAGGATCATGGTTTGACGTCAGAGCGTACAAAATAGCGTTAAGTTTTTGCTGCGGATGCGTGTTTGTTTCATCATCACGCACCTACTTTTGGCATTTCATGTTTACCGGACTTTTTATTTGCCTATTGGGCCAAATGTACAAACATAAAGTGATATTGTTTAACCTGGTATAAATTATATGAGAAAAGCAGCATTACCCGGATATCGGGGAGTATGCGGAGGGCCATGACGTGTCTGCTCTCCGGGAAGGTGAGCCGGTGAGGTTAACACCAGTCCCGGCAGCAGTAATAATTTTTAGGTGAACGACAATGGGTAATCAACAGCTGTGCCCACGGCTGTACGTAATTCGGATTTGTATGCGCCAATGGCTATAGATTAGTACACCAAAAGGATACAGAAGGCACTGCCAGAGGGGGGAATTAGCATTCGCTGCTTTTTGTCGTTAGCAGACTGAAGGCGTGCATGTATATCGATCATTTAACACGCGCTCGGGATGAGGGGGTCAAATTGACTCCCCAAAGGTTTTCCGCAATGGTTTCCAAACTGCGCGGCGTAGCCACGCCAAATTTTGCATAGCTGTAGACCATTGAATAGCGGTTCGTCTGACATCAAAAATTTAGATGTACCTTGTTAGGTCGCTGACGTATGACAGGTCAAAGTCAGGCCATGGTTTCAGCGAAGGCACACTCTACGGAATCGTTCGATCCGATCAAACAACGGAGTGTTAGACGAAGCCAGACATCTCTGAGATACTTCTTAGGCAGCACAACAATTGAATGAACAAATATAATTTACGTAGGGTCAGGCATGAAGGTCGGAGCAAGGTCAAAACCAACCTGTTGTGTTACTCTCGGACTTGCTGTATGAGCTGGTTTCTGGGGCTCATTTCGAATATATTGATAGCAGGAACCACATTATACACCTTATATGGACTTCTTTTAGGTCTGAATAGGTCACTGACCCAAAATGACCCAGGTCAACATTTCGTTTTTAGGAACATACCGCCTAGCGTAATCTGTGTCGCTTATCCAAATGCAAAGCTCAGAACAGTCTATATCATTTTGGTTGTCATGACCTTTTAAGGGTAAAACAAAGTCTTTGACCTCAACTAAGCGCGCGATATTTTGCTTAGAACAGTTGTCTAGGTTTAGGGGGTCCTATGGAGACCAAGCTGGAATTTTACCTTGTTTGACCTTACCTGACCTGGAGTTCATGACTTAGGAACTTCATACTTTGACCTAAGTGAGTTTACGTACAGGTCAACACGCCCAGTGACTTTGGTGTCTCTAACTCTCTTAGTTCCCGAAATCTCAGGGCGGTCAAATTGACCCCCTCTACCTGAACGGAGGGTATCTAACCGGCCACCCGAGCGCGTGTTAAAAGGTCAGACAAGATCAATGACCTTAACTGAGCGTGTGAATTATTTTTTAGAACGGTTGCCTAGATTCTAGGGGTCCTTTGGAGACCAATCTGACATTTGACCTTGTTTGACCTTATTTAACCCAAAGATCATAACCTAGGAACCTCGAACTTTGATCTGCAGTAGTTTACGTGCAGGTCAACACACTCTGTGAATTTGGTGTCTCTAGCTCTCTTAGCTCCCGAGATCACAATGGGGTCAAATTGACCCCCTCCCACCCGAGCGAAGGGTAGTCCGACCGGCCACCCGCGTGTTAAAGTGTGGTGCCGATAATGTAGCGGTTAAGCTGCGCGTCTGGGAAATTAGAGGTGCTTTTTTTGATCCCACGCGGCGTCCACCCTTCCTGTGAAGGTGAGAGGGCAGGCGACGCCATACAGCCTCAGCAGCTGAGTGCATCATAAAGCCCCAATGACGCCGACGACAAATGTTTAAACTAACCTTCTTAGCTATTCTGAGCCTACCGCTGCTCAAACTATTCAAATGCTTCTTACCCTTCTGTACGGTATGTTTTTGACACATCCAGCCGCCTCTAACCAGCTGTAGCCTTACCGAACTGAGTAAACGGAACATATGTAGGCGATAATATATACAAAGTAGTGATGTAGTAAAGTACAGTCTGTTGAGTGTATTCGTGCCAAAGTTGCCCGCGATTCATGTTATACGCTGGTAGGTATATGCTCATTGCTGGCGACACATGCAACTGTGTGGCCACTGGCTGCTGCTGGTTTCTGGAGTTTGTAGAGTCGTTAGCGATTGCACTGCGTGGCCATGAGCCATTTTTAACTGCATTGGCGTTCGCCATTGCCTTACGTGGATCTTATTTTAATATGAGGCATAGATGTCAGAATTCATCAACGAAATGGTAATGAGTGTATCTTCGTCAACCCACCTTACGATCCACCCACAGAAACCTTCATTCCGGTTTCCATCCTGCCCTCTACCAGCCCGGCCTCGGTCCCCGACGTTCCACGCCCCGATCGATCTCGTGCAGCGCCTTGGGCACGATACGCCAGGCGTCCGGGAATTTTATTTTCAGTCACGTGGTGTTTTTCGCAGCCAGGATTTAAATGGCTGTTTATCGGGGCAGCCGGGATCGGTTTCGGAGCGCCGGCGGCGTCTGATGGCGCGGCGTGGGGCATGCCTGACATACCGGCCCATTAAGTGGGGTGCTGACTGGGGGACGGCCGGTGCGAGCGGCGCTGCCGGCGATGGCATCGCAGGCGCACGCCCCCAGAGCGCCGCGCAGGTGACAGCGCACGGTGCTGTCAGGAATTACCAACAGGATGACTGACAGGTCGTGGATGACTCTGTAGTTATCCATGGTTCGGTGGCAGCCCACACGGTGTGCATGTGACGGATACCGTGAGGCAACGTGAATCGGATGAGATGGCGTGGGGTGATGATGGCGTGAGGTGATGATGGTGTAAGGTGGTGCTGGTGTTAAGTGATGACGGTGTAATATATTATTCGCGGCAAAGTCGGCTATCTCTGACTTACGCCGGAAGGCCTCCCTTGACAACTAGGAAGGTTAAGCATCGTTACCAGATGTCACTGACTGGTGACCGATGAACATTGATGCTGGTAACCATTTCCTACAGAAAAATTAGTAATAACTAACTGCCACACGTACATGTTAACGTATCATCGCCACTCAACCCCTGCGTCACGTCGATTTTAAGTCTCAGCCGGCGGCTTTGGTCGCCGGGCCTCTGATTCGGCCTGGTTCGTTTCTCAGGTGAAGTGACACAGCCGGTCCAACTGCACTGTGTGATGGCCCATGGATCGCTCAGCGATGGCAGGAATCATGCCAGCGCTGCTCGCTCTCGCTGGGGCTGACTCGGTGTTCTACGTAATGGCGCGCTCATGGACTGGCTAGCAGAAGTCAAGCTCCGATAATTTGCCGTGTTCCTGCGTGCAGAGTGTCATGTCAGCGGTACAGGAACATGCGACGAAATGTACGCTGCACTATTCTCTCGTCATCAGGCCGGTGCTGGTGCACACGCACTGAATCGCCCTGGCCCAGTCGGCATGCAGTCGGCGAGCGCAGGTGGCGCCACCGACATGTGCCGCCGCCGCCGCCGCGTGCTCACCGTGCTGCACTCTCCCTCTTGTTCGCAGAACTGCCCGACCAAAGCTGAGGCGCGCCGCAGCAGCGCCAAGATCGCGCTGATGAACTCGGTTTTCAACGACCATCCGTCGCGCAGAATATCGGATGACTTCATCGAACGCGCAGTGGGCGATGCGCGAACGACATTTAACGTGAGCTTGAAGAGCTAGGTGTGATACTGTAGTTGAGTAATGCCGTGCCCGTATGTGTATGTGTATGCCTCTGTACTGATGTGCGCTCGATTATGTGTGCTTTGTGCTCGGGCTTCCTTACGCGTTGAATCAGTGATGTCGCCATGACTTAGAGGCTTGTGAGTGGGAGCAAAGCGCAAGCAAAACAGCCAACTGCCGGTGGAAAGGAAAAAATGTTTCCCTTATCTTTTTCTGATCTGTTAGTGCCAGTTACTTCACTGGTGTCTATCTGTAGGCTGAATTTTCCTGTTCTTGTGTTGTTCTTTGACAGCCAACCAAAGAATGTCAGAGATGTGTAGACCCCAGTCACGTTGCAACGAGCGGCGGAAAACTTTTGAACAACAGTCTTGTATACAATATTTTGTTCAAGAAGAAATACCAAACTGTTCATTTTGTAACACTTCACTCGAGCACTGCCTCCCCATATCCCGTACGTTCCGCTTCCTCGTGATGCCTATGCTCGGGCTGCATGCAGAAATCCACAGGTCGAACAAGGATTTTGACAAAGCTTTGCGACGCCGAGCACGGTAGCGCCACCTATAAGCATTCTTAGCGCCATCTATGTGTATTTGTTGCGGATGTTTCAGGGCAGCCAGGACGTCGCGGACAACCCTAACACTGGGATCGGGGCGTTCCGGTTCATGCTGGAGTCAAACAAGGGAAAAACTATGCTGGAATTCCAGGAGCTTATGACAGTGTTCCAGCTCCTGCACTGGAACGGCTCTCTCAAGGTAGTGAAGGCACAGCCAGCGTAACGTTTAATATGCATTCTGATAAAGCGGTGTCAGCACAAACTAAATGTTGGTGTTATCATACTGTAGCGCGGGTCGTTTGGCTGACTAGCCTTGTTTCGTGGGTGCCAGCACGTACAGGTGTCTATAATACTACAATATATTTCATACAGGTACCCATGCTCCACGACAGACCCATTTTCTACCCCTACCAGCCAGATAACCATCCTCCCCACGCATGGTAGAGTTTCCTGGTTCCAGACCAGACTGTGCCGGGGCGTACCGACGTCTAACTGCGGCCTGCCCCCAGGCGATGCGCGAGCGCCAGTGCTCGCGGCAGGAGGTGGTGGCCCACTATTCGCACCGCACCCTGGACGACGACATGCGCTCTCAGATGGCGCTTGACTGGATCGCCAGGGAACAGGTGGGCAGCCGCTCGTGCCGCCGGTGACCCAGAGCAACGCCACCGCACGCAGTCCATAGAGTCAGTCTCGGTGTCATGTCACCATACTCCACCAATGCTGCAGCAATGTATCCGTGCTGCCGTGCGTTAACGTAATCAACCCCTAAGCTTATTTTTCGCATTATTTTGTAAATTCATTACGTGTTGCGCGGATATGTCAACGTAGATGGGAACGGCTCTGGCAGTTTAGCCGTGCTTGTGCGATCCAGCGGCGTTACAGTAGCCCGTGTTGCCCCGGCCGGCTGAATATGCCGACGCTGTCCACTGACGCCGACGCCGGGCCTGCCCCAGGAGCTGCCGAACGTGCTGAGCCGGGAGCTGCGCGCCGCCGACGCGGAGCTGGAGCTGGCGCGCCGCTCCGGCCGCGAGCTGCGCTTCCCCAAGGAGAAGAAGGACATTCTGATGATGGCGCACGCCCAGCTGAGCGGCGGAGACGCCATGTCCCTGGGCGCCGGCTGACGGAAAGACACGCTTCCTGCGCTCGTGGGTGCGGACTTGCGCGACGAGTGCGCCATCGGCTCGGGAGAACGTGCAGTCGAAACGCGCGGAAGGTGCGCAGCCGCGACAGACCACGTGTTCCCCGGTGGTTGGCGCGCGGCCAGCGAGAGACGAGGAAGGATGCCGATGCGAGGGCCGACCGACTGGCGGGCGCGAGGACCGGCTGACTGGCGCGCACTAGGACCGGCTGACAGGCGGGCACTAGGACCGGCTGACTGGCGGGCGCGAGGACCGGCTGACTGGCGCGCACTAGGACCGGCTGACAGACGGGCACTAGGACCGGCTGACTGGCGCGCACTAGGACCGGCTGACTGGCGGGCACGAGGACCGGCTGACTGGCGGGCGCTGGCGACACTCCCATGCCACGTGAGAGCATGCAGCACAGCGCTGCAGCACCAGCGGGGAGCTTGGCCGCACCAGCGACTGGGCGTCGGAGCAGATGTGCCGGCGGCAGAGGCACGCACTGCAAGGTCTCGCGCGCATGTCATGCAGTCACATGATCTCAGCACAGATGTCCTCCGCCGCAGCCACCGATTGATCCGCACTCCCGGCGCGTTTTTTGGTGATATACCTGCAGCTCTACGCTGCATTATGAGAAGGGCCATGAATGCGGATTTTCACTTGTTTTGCCTTGTTGGTCCATTCCAACGCATATGACCTTGAATTTGCGTGTTGTACAGTTGCATCGTAAGTTATGCCCCGATCGAACCATATTTCCGCAGCATGTGTCGGATACAATGCTCAATAACGCGTTGCAGTAGGTTGCCGTTCCTTCAATGTACTTAGTTTTTGCTCTTCTTCGGCATCCAGAGAGAAAATTGATGAAGTAGCTGGCGTCTTAAGGATAGATTAAGTTTGCATCATTGTTTGTTCATTGGTGGAGTGGGAAAGCTCTGTAAGAGTGTGTATCATCTGACCAACGACGTTACACCAGCGCTCTTCGGTTATACAGCATCACATGGGGCGCAAATATCATCCGTGATCATTTGCATGGAGGCGAAGTGTCGAACTTATTGACCGTTGGTCAGCCACGTGCGTGTGTACTACGCAAACTTCCCTGATGACGTCTGTCGGGTGATGAAGTTTTTTGCTGATTACATGTAAAATACAAAACAACGTGCTTAGACCTGTTCATGCCCTATTTATCGAAAAGAGACTTATATATCCATTCAGCAAATTCATCCTGCATCTTGAAGCCACTTCGTGCGAGATCACCGTCGTTACCCTGCTCTGGGCGGTAATGGGGGGGGGGGGGGGAGGGGCGCATTCCACTTCCCTTCACCGAGATCTTGGCAACTACTGAACCGATTTTGAATATCAAGACATCGTTTGATATCTCCCGACAAGATTAGCATGCCAAAAAACGAAAATCTCACTTTACCTCAAAAACACTTCGTTTAGGGGGAAACAGCTGGCAAACCATCCAAAACCTGGGGCAACTTTGAGCTGACAGAGCTGCCACGTTATTCAACTGGTTGACGCCGCATCACCATGTTATAGGATAAACTTCTCAACGTGTGCATGCATGTGAAAACAATATTCTCCAATTATTGGGCGGGTAGAATTCGCCCAAAAAGGTGGGAATGGCCGGAGACAATGTCTTAAAGGGAGTGCTCAACATTTGAATGGGACTTTGAACTGAAATGCCCATCTTGAAGAAACTTCGGTGCAGCTCACAGCCCTACCCTTCTTAAGACATAAGCCCCTGTAGTTTCTGAGCTACACGCACGCGGAGATCTGCAGACGGCCTCAGAGTGACTATTTTAAGGTCATCCAGGCATCCGTGACATCATAATGATGGCATTCAAACTCTGCCGCTCCATTAGTCACGTGGCCATCAAGGCAAAGAAAAAAAGGTTTGTCGAGTCTTTCATATCTGTTTTTGTGATCACCATTTCCCGTTACAACGGCAGTCAGTTAGCTCTCAACCAATGTTGAGCAAGGTACGGTGACGAAATCAAGCGATACGTGCTGAGGAGCATATTTATTAAACAGAAAAATTGTGTTGTCTAAAGCAGAATTTTCCACTCAACAGCATACCAGTACTAAGTCAACGCGCAGCCGTCGCACACGACTTAAAGTATTTTCAATTGCACGCCCTATCTTTGCAATTCGCCGCTGCGTCCAGTACGGCCGCATTGAGTGAGTCGCTGTCGGAGGCCCACCGAAGAAAATGAAGGCGTAATCGCAGCCGTGACCGTAATGAAAGTTAGTTAAAGGAACGGCAGCAAACACACAACCTGACTCTTCACGCACGATTTAAGTATTCATGCTTGTATATGTCGTATGCTTGCCGTGGCGGGACGGGGAGAGCGGCCACAGTAAGCAATGCACCATACAGGGGTGATTTGAAGCGCAGAAGTTCTGTTGGCCACTGACCAATTTCTTTTGCCAGCCGATAGTGCTCGCGCAATGACATCGTATGCACGTGCTCGCACCCTCCACTCACGGCTGTCCTAATCAGGCAGGTGTGTTGTCCTGGCAGCCTACCGCGGTGCAATCGACTGCATCAAGCTGCGCTCGTGTAGTGCACTTTTGATTAGTTTTCCGGCCGTATGCTTGCCATTAAGCTGTAGGCCGGCGGCCTTGCGCCGTCAAGGAGTGATTTGAACAAAAAGTGTCATGCTACCCGATGAACGATTTTCATTGCCGGCCGCTAGTACTCCCACGGTGTCACTGCGTACACGTGGTCGCACCAGCGGCGCGTCTAAAAGCATAGTTGAATTGAACCCCATAACTGTGTAAATTGCGCTGCGCGCAGACCACCAGCGTCGTGTAATAATAACATGTAATGGATGCGATAATGGGACAAGTGTGTTGTGCGGAAAGCTGATAATCCTATGGAAGTGCTATCGAACGCCACATTCTTGCTCTTCGTGCGTGATTCTAAACATGTTTTCCGGGCCGCTGTGTGCTGGCCAGCACGCTACATGTCGGCTGACCGCAGTTAGCCATGAACCGTTCAGGTGTGATTGGAACAAAGGAAGTCATGCCGGCTGATGAGTAATTAACATTGCCGGCCGATTGTGCCTCCCACCCCTCACCCCCACAATGACATGGTGTGTACATGGTGGGTGGCAACCGACGCACACGACTAAAAGTCTTTTAAATTGGACACCATGACTTCGCGAATCACCGCTGTGGCTCGCGCACCACCATTACATGAGACGCTGTTAGCGGCCGACCGAATTAAAGGGGCTCCTTTAATTCGGACAGGGGTGTGGTACCGGAAGCTGATATCTCTATAGCAGCGTTATCGAATGCACCATGCTGCGCTTTTTGTCGTGCGCTGCAGCTGTCATCAAGCTGCAGACAGACAGGCTGCAGTTAGCAGTGCTCCGTCAAGGTGTTGTTCGAATATACTCACTGCTGTGAACGAAGCCCAGAATGTCCCTCGGCCGTTGAGCGAGACCCGGACACAGCTTCCTGCTACTGACTCAATACTGGGCGAATTGAGGGGACTCAACAGCAATAACGCTGAAACTGCAGAGCAAAACAGCACTCCGTTCCGGTAGTGGATGAGGCGGGGTGACACAAACATCCTCACTGTAAGCGAATCATACCACTCCGCATACTGTAAAATTACTGACATTACGCGTGTTGCGTGCTGGGCAACGGTCGGGGACGGACTCGTTGTTTTTTCCGTGAGCCCGGAAAAGTGTTTTACTCTGGAGCATAGCTTGTTGCTATTTGTCAAACTTACATCTGCATGTCATGGGTAAATCCTGCAACTTCATTTATGATTATAAGTGCTTTATTGGAAAAGGTAAGGTTTATCCTTTGCTCAGATTCAGATTCATGACATTGCAGTATCACGTGGGAAGAATCTGTCCTCTCGTGCATCCGATAGAATATTTGTTACTGAATTCCAGCCAAGTTTTGCCATTCCCAATGAAGAGGACTCTGGGGTAGATGCTGATTCTGAAGTTAATAAAGCACAGGTTCGTTACCTGCCAGTCACTGAGTAAGCATGCCTTCTAGTGAATAACTTGATTCTGGATGGTTTGAACTGAAATACGGCAGCCCGGCGTTTGCTTCACGAATAGCGTCACGATGAGCCCTATAAATGCAATTATTAGAGGTCGTTTATCACACTGGGACAGAAAGGTCAAGACGACACACTCTGAAATCATATCGGAAGCCCCGAATCCATCTTCAAGGTACGTGCCTCTGCTTTGGGCATCTAGAAGCCCCTAGTACGTTCTAAACGCATCACAATTACCATGGTAGTACAAAACCGTGCGGGTGGCTTCACGGTCCTCCGTGAGCTATCGCGGACCAAAAGGCCCTCTTCCATCGGTCCAGCAGCAGTCTGCTCTACCTACTACAGTCTACCTCTAGTCTACTATAGACGAACAAAGTGTGGCAATGCCAGTAGCCTGTCCTCACATCAATTTCAGTTTTAATTTCCGTGGGCTTATTTGCCCGTCAACTCGACTAATGATGAAGGCAAAGTCAGACAGACACCGCGACTCCCACGCCAATGATTGTTGATTCCCTAGCCCACGCCACAAAGCCCATGCACTGGCACTGAATAATATACCACGGGCCGCGAGGCGGACAGCGCGGCGTGACTGCCCACGGGTCGCCGGTGCGTCTGGCTGGCTGGCCTGCTGCGCACCGGCGCTCCGTCGGCGCCGTCGGCCGTCGGCCGTCGGAGCCGACAGCGCGGCAGACGGCGGCCGACGGCGGGGCGACGAGGGCGCGCGGCGAGCGTGGCCGGCACCGACGCAACAGGCTGACGCGCTGAGCCGGCCGGCGGGTGACATCAGCGTTATCGCGGCCGCGGGACCCCGCTACCCCAGCCCAGCCGCGGGTGCGTGCAGCCAGCTCGCTCGGCAGCTTCCAGTGCCGGGCCTTGGGGCAGAACGCTGACCGGCCACGCGCCGCCGGTGCCCCGGAGCCGCGGCGGTGAGCGCGACGCCATGGCGCTCAACGGCACAGCGGAAGCCACCACGGCCGCGCTGCCAGCGCCCGACGACGCCGGCAACGCCAGCAACGTGACGTTCGTGATGTACTCGTGGGGAGACGCTATTCATCCCAGCGGCTATTCGACGCCGCGCATCGTGCTGACTGCGATTGCAGTGACGCTCATCATGGTGGTGGTGGTGGTGGGCAACATGCTGGTCATCATCGCCATCGCCACTGAGAAGGCGCTGAAGGGTATCCAGAACTGGTTCATCGCCTCGCTGGCCGTGGCGGACTTTCTGGTAGGCCTGGTCATTATGCCGTTTTCGCTGGCCAAGGAGCTGATGGGCTACTGGATCTTCGGCGAGCTCTGGTGCAGCCTGCACGCTGCCATCGACGTGCTGGTCTGCACCAGCTCCATCAACAACATCTGCCTCATCAGCCTGGACCGGTACTGGTCCATCACGCAGGCGGTCGACTACCTGAAGAGCCGCACGCCGCGGCGCGCCGCGCTCATGATCGCCTTCGTCTGGCTCTTCAGCGCCCTCATCTGCATCCCGCCTCTGCTCGGTTGGAAGAAGACGCGGCCGCGCGCCCAGTTCCCGCAGTGTGAGGTCAGTGCTCCCGTCCCCCCGTGCTCACACGGTCGAGGTCACCAGTCCTAGGACCAGTTCCCGCAGTGGGAGGTCAGTGCTCCCGTGCTCCCGTGCTCCGCGGTCGAGGTCACCAGTCCTAGGACCGAGGTCTGTTGTGGGGCAGCTGCTCGCCGGGTAGGTTGGCACTGCACGTCGTCTGGCGACGCGCGCCTGTGACCCAGGCACCTCTCGGCCGAGGGTCAGTCTGTTAGTCTGTAGGCCGAGGGTCAGTCTGCGGGACTCAACTTCACAATGCAACTAATTTTCCGCAGTAATTATGTCTACCCAAGTCGATGGTGCACCTTTCTTCCTGAGGGCATGTGTTCTTCAGTCAATAATTAATTTGGCCATCTAATCAATTTGGTCATCGGAAGTTTTTGGGAAGCAAAGCAAATGGGTAAAGTCCGACAGAATGTTGCATTGGCGTGATCCCGTCCGGTCAGTCGGCTTTTCCCTGCTGTTCCAACAGCAATGTGTGACACATACCATGGGATGCACATACATGACACACACATACATGGGATGCTTTCAGGGGACGGCCTGCTCAACCGTTGTTGAATTCGATGGCAGGCAACTAAAGGCTGACGATAGAGGAGAAGGCGTAATGCGTAATCTTACTTCGCGAGTACATGCCAGGGAATTGTTCACTTCTACGCGGTTACAACTGTGAATTTAAGTGCACTTCAGTAGCTGTGAATTGCGTGCTTATGGAGCGCGGCCAACTTCCGTACATCATTCAGTACTTTGAGTTTTAATGCGCAGCAGTGAACAGTCCCTTGAACCTATTTTTATTTTATATTTACCCCAAGCCTTTCAAGTGAATAGGTATTTGAAATCAGAACCTAATCTAAGCAGTATTTGTTTGAGCTCTGACTCGGCCATTCGCTCGCGACATTCTACGTAAACGGCAGGATTTTGTGCCGGAGATCATCGTACCGGAATATTCGACATGGTCCTTCCTGCACTCTGACGTCTCCTGACCCACAGCGTGGCCGTTTATATTCTGCCAGCCCCCCAGGGCGGAAATTTTGGTTGTCAGCAATCGTATTACGCCATCCCTCCCCAGTTTCCAAAGTTCAGCACCAAATATCGACGTTCATGATGAGGTCAGCACGACCAGGGGCTCCCTCCGGCGCTTTAGCACTTTCGCAATTGATTGGTGTGCCGCGAGCCAGCCGCGGGGCGCTAAATGTAAACAAACCCGGACAGGCACTGCAACTTCCATTGTCGGAGGGGTCCACGCGAAAAGTGCCACCTTTGTTTATGTTTGCGAGCATGAATGGCTTGAAGCGCATCCATAATTTCAGCATACTTCTTTGAAAGAGCCGGTCACCGAAAGAATCCATGTCATTGAACATTTTTGTAGCATTTTACGTTGCATGCAAATATATCGTCTTACTTTAAAGGTATACAGACAGAGCGAAACGCATTCCCCATGCCCATGACTTTTTGCTGGGCTCTGTAGCAACGATGCAGCCTTCTGTGTTGCCCATTCGACTTGTTCTTGGAAGTGGTCTACTTGTCTTATTACGAGATCTGACCGTTTGTGGTCACGATCGATTCTGATTAATTTCCAGCGATGTGAATGACATTCCTCTTGCCGAACGCTAGTAACAATAGCCTCCGTCAAGATGAAAACGTCATAAAGTATGCCATCATCATGGCGAGCAAGCACTTGTGCGTGATACACGCATCAAGGGGTCCCGATCTGCTCCCATATCCCCAGCGAGTGTTTCATTCCATCCCCGTGGCGCACTCCATCCAATTCTCTGTATACTACCTGTTGTACCAATGGCAAGAGGGGATTCGCACGCTATTCTTGTCGCAAGGCGCTTACCAGAAGCAGGAGGAGCGTAATGATTCACCTCGCAGACCTAACATCCAGCTATGGTGTAATATGCTGCTGACGAGGAGCGCAAGCCTTTGCCATGCCCCCGCGCCACGAGATCGCCGCGGTACGGCGCGATAAGCACGCTATAGATCACGCGACATCATTGGAATAACCCGCCGTGCAAATTATACACCATTAGGACCACTTGGGCGCCGGTGTCAGTGGCCAAATGCCTGCACAACAAACGATGCGCTGCAAACACACTCTATTCTCAGCATCACTTCAGTAACGCGGTCCGTGACGCTGAATCAACAGCATGATGTTATGCAAACCGCACGGCAAGACCTAGATTACTGCTGGGTGGGGGCGGGCCGCGTGGCCTTGTCCCGTGGGAACGGCGACGCATCAGCTATCGACACGCCCTCGTAGTGATACGGGCGATGACGCCAATGCTGACGATACGCCCTCGTGTTTACTGACGAGCGGCCTGACCAGCTCACAAGCTTGCACCCAATGGCTGCGAAGGCATGATAAGGGCCATGACGCTAAT